GACGCTGAAATCTGCACGTTTAGACATCTGCGCAAAGGTGCTGCGCGCGCGTTTGACGCTTTACGCACGACGCACGATGCTTCCATGTAATAGCACCTTTATATCTTTACACCATGATTTCGTCGTCGATCGACGAATCATTTCTCACCGGGAGTGGAAAGTTTATGTTATACGCGCACTTTTTCACGTATAATTGTCCGAGAGATTATTTCTTGCCAAGCGATCGAGATATTATAATTTTTCGCAGAGAGCGATCGCGATTTCTTCCCGCACTTGTCGCGAACACGTATCAAGAAACGATAATACGATATACGGAACGGCGCGGGCACAACAGACTCGTTCAACTCTCGCCGCGTGAATGATACACTGCGTACGGCGTGAACAGTTTCGACGTAAACAACTCGCTCGCCGAGCCCCGATTCCGAGAAATGACGTAGCGGCATTGACCGAGCGGCGTAAACAACTCGGTCGCCGAGCGCTTTTTTGGATTCCAAGCAATGACGTAGCGCGGTGAACACCTCGTTCGAAAACAGTCTATTGTACCGGAATATTCGGCGCGAGTCGGTCGAGCGAGGTGGACGTGTCGCGTGTCTTCGCGTCGCTCGTCGTAACGCGATCGTTTCCCACGAGAATCTCGATCGTCGGGTGAAGTGACAAGGAAAAATTACAACATATCGATCGCCTGCCAAGTCAATCGGAGTTGGTTAAAGTGTGGTTAAGTGTGTGGTTAAGTGTGCCGGCGGGAAGAAGAGATCGAACGAAGCGCGGAAAGTGTGGACGAATAGCGAGTGCGCGCGTGCCTGTGAACGGGCCTTTACGCGTGGCACGTCCGCCTCTCGCGCTACCCGTCGGCGCGACACCGAACTCGTGGCATCGAACGGTTCACCGGGAATTCCGTTTCGCCGCTCTAGGTACACGCACAACGTTTTGTTTGGGTTCCCGTGCTTTGACAGTTACAAGGGGCATGTACATTTGAAAATCCGACACGCAACGGATTTAATGGCCGCGTGAGGAGGTCGTGGAGTCGCGGCTCGTCCGGCGGTCACGCTTGCGCCACTTACTTGAAGCGCGCGTTCACTCGCGCGAGCGACGCCGCTCGCTTTACCCCGCCGCACCGCGACTTTTTCATGTCGTTGTCCTGCTGCCGAGGTAAGCGCGAATGACGGGGCCACCGTCCGCCGGATCGCGGTGTCGAAACTCTGCGCCGAGCCGAACGTTGCCTTTTTCGGCTGTCCCGCCGAGTGACGACACCCGCTGGCCGACGGGTGTCCTTCGACCGTTGTTTCTCCGGCGGGTTGAATCGAACGCGCGCGAGAGGAACCGACTTTACGTACGTTTACACTCGCCTTCCAGCCTTCAGCTACTGGACGGGGGTTTACGAGGAGTCCTCGTCGAATTTGTCTTGTCGCTCGACGGGGCTACTCGTCGAAGTCCGAGCCGTTTGATTCAACGCCGCGTTTCCGCGCGCCCTGACCGAGCGAAAGCCTGTAAAACTTGCACTTGTTGCAGAATCGTACGTTTGCGCGTCTGTTTTGAATTGTTACGCCTTGGCGATTGAAGAAGGCATACGCGTACGATCGTTCACACCGATGTCACTTCCGACGAGACACAGGGGATACTCCGAGTGAATCATTGTTCCAGAATAACCGGTCATGGAGCAGGACACGGAATACGTGAAGCTGCCTCTCGAGGAGCGCCTTGCGCACAAGGTACTGGGCTGTGTTCGAGATACTTGTGGTGTTTTTCGCGTTCTAGATTTGTAGGCGGGTTACTTTTTTCATCGATCGCGATTGTCGCAACAAATGTTAAACTTGTAACCAATCTATGATGTTTTAATCCGGAAGTGAGTTAACAATAACTGGAAAATGAAAAACCGGGTCTCACGCTCGTTTCCATCGCTACAGATTAATTTTAATCTGAGCTTATTATATAACTTACTTCTTTTTCTAATTTAAAAACCTAGTAAAAGATTTTGAACCGAGATTGACGTTAATCCGCGTTGGTAGAAACAGGCATTACAGTAAGTTGAATTAAATAATGTACGATGTTGCGTAGTCTTGGCGAGCACGCCTGCACGGGTACGAAGAGTGCGTGAAGACGTTCCAGTGCATCGACGATGAGAAGTCGCCCGAGTGGAACAAGTATGCCGGCCTCATCAAGAAGTTCGTGGTGGACAGTAACGCGGCTGCGCAGGAGAAGGGCCTGGAGGCGACCCTGGCCTTCGCGGAGAACGCCGCGATCGCCGGCAAGATAGTAATCGAGGTGATGAACGGCATCGTGTCCAAGTGTATCGCCGCGCCTAAAGCCAAGACGAAGGAGCTGGCTGTGCAGATCACGCTCATGTACATCGAGATCGAGAAGCACGAGGCGGTGCAGGAGGAGCTGCTGAAGGGCACCGAGGCGAAGAATCCGAAGATCGTTTCAGCGTGCATCGCCACCTTGACGCAGGCGCTCAAGGAATTCGGGCCCAAGGTGGTCAATATAAAGCCGCTGATGAAGAAGATAGCGAATTTCCTGGACGACCGAGACAAGACGGTGCGCGAGGAGGGCAAAGCCATGGTGGTGGAGATGTACCGATGGGTGGGCGAACGCCTGAGGCAGCAATTGAACACACTGAAGGCGGTGCACATCGCTGAGCTTGAGGCAGAGTTTAGCAGCCTCGGTGAAGAGAAGGTGGTGCCCATGCGCCACCTGCGCTCGCAGAAGCCGAAGAACAGGGGCGGCAACGGCAATTCCGCGGCGGCGAGCGATAACGGCGAGGACGACAACGAAGACGCGGACGGTGCCTTGGTGCCGGACATAGATCCGTACGATCTGCTGGCGCCTGTGGACATTCTGTCGAAGCTGCCGAAAGACTTTTATGAAAAGATCGAGGCTAAGAAGTGGCAGGAGCGGAAGGAGGCGCTGGAGGCACTCGAGGCGCTCGTAAAGAATCCGAAACTGGAGAACGGCGACTACGGTGACGCGGTGAGAGCTCTGAAGAAGATCATCTCGAAGGACACGAATGTGGTGGTAGTTACGCTCGCGGGCAAGTGTCTAGCTGGTCTGGCCACGGGTCTGAAGAAACGATTCCAGCCTTACGCCGTCGCCTGTTTGCCCACCATTCTGGAGAAGTTTCGCGAGAAGAAGCAGACTGTGGTGCAGGCACTGCGGGACGCTGCCGACGCCATTTACACGAGCATAAGCATCGATCTCATCCTCGAGGACACCCTGGCCGCCTTGGAGAACAAGAATCCGGCCGTGAAGGCCGAAACGGCCGCGTATCTGGCGCGATGTTTCGCGCACACGCCGCCTGCGAACCTCAACAAGAGGCTGCTCAAGTCTTACACCGGCACGCTGCTGAAGACGCTCAACGAGCCAGACCCGACGGTACGCGATAATTCGGCGGAAGCGCTCGGCACGGCGATGAAGCTGATCGGCGAGAAGGCAATGATGCCGTTCTTGACCGATATTGACAATCTGAAGATGACGAAGATCAAAGAATGCGCCGACAAGGCGGTGATAGTCAAAGTGTCGAGTGGTACAAAAAAGCAGGAGCGACCCAACACCGCCCCGGCCAAAGTGGAGTCTCAGCGGCCAAACAAGGCGAGCAAGGAGAGCTCGAAGAGCGGCAAGTCGAGCGCCGCGAAGAGACCGAACACCGGTATCGCGACCGGAAAGAAGCTGACGTCTAAGAAACCGGGCGGGGGCTCGTCGCTCACGAATCTGGCGTCGTCCGCGAGGAAAGCCGTTCAGATAGAGAGGAATTACACTCCGGAGGAGATTGACGAGATGGCGGCGGAGCTCTTGCCGGCCGAGATAATCACCGGACTCGTGGACAGCAATTGGAAAACGCGTCTGGCCGCGGTCACGCAGTTGTCAGACACCGTCAGGGCGATGGATTCGGAGGTGCCGACCCAGGTGATTGTACGGACTTTGGCGAAGAAGCCTGGCTTCAAGGACACCAATTTCCAGGTAATGGTGGGATTAAGATCAACATGTAATTCTTCATCATTACACTATACAGCCCCAAGTGGGCCCTGGCCTTTGCAACAAATTGCCTCCATCCGAGGCTCATTGTTGGCCTCTCGCCAACCTCCTTTTCGAAGGACAGGGATATGTGTGGCAGGATACTCTTGATAGTTGCCACTTCTCTCCAAGACGTAGCGTCCGAAAAAATCAGCGGTATCCGTGGGTGGATTTGAACTCGGATCTTTTCGTTTATTTGTTTGCTAAGCAGCGCACATTTCTCTGTGCCACGCTCGCCACACATTTAACATGTAATTTACCATATATAATAATATATTCAACATTTATAACAAATTTAATTTACCGTTTAAAGTTGAGTTTTGTTTCACAGTTAGTTATAAAGAAACTGAAAGAACGTTCTTATAGCAAGATACCTAATTTAATTTCTGCCTGCAGGTGTTAAAACTACGCGTAGAGATTGTGAAGTACCTGGCGGAAAATCATCCCTTCACAGCCACCGTGGCTGAGTACTGTCTCATGGACATCGCGGAGAAGCTGGCGGACGCGAAGAACAGTTCGATCGCCGCCGAGACTTTGCTGGTCATCGCCCAGGCTATAAGCTTTGAGTATATAGCGGACGAGGTGGTGGCATTCGCGTTCAATCAGAAGAATCCTAAGGTGCAGCAGGAGACACTGGTTTGGTTGTGTCGGGGACTCGCGGAGTTTGGTTTGTAATGTTTTCGTTTTGCAAATTACCGGCTGCAACATTCAATTTACTAATTCATCCATATATCTCTCAGGTTATAGTCTCAACGTCAAGTCCATCATCGAGAATATCAAGAAGGCGGTGGCGGCGACAAATCCCGCCGTGCGCACCGCCGCGGTGACCTTGCTAGGCACTTTGTATCTTTACATGGGCAAACCACTGCTGGCGTACTTCGATAACGAGAAGCCTGCGCTGCGGCAACAGATCGAGCAAGAGTGCGAGAAGCGCTACGGCGAAACTCCACCGGCGCCTGTTCGCGGCGCTAAAGCCCGGAAGACCAACGCCGTCAACGCCGAGGATGAGGAGGAGGACGTGGAGGAGTCGGAGAAAAAAGCGGGCGACAGCGAACCGGAACTCAACGAGCTGATTCCGCGCGTCGACATCGGCGCCCAGATCACCGAAGCGCTGCTGGCCGAATTGGCCGACAAGAATTGGAAAGTGCGTAACGAAGCGTTGCAAAAGATAAACGCTATGGTTGCCGAGGCAAAATGTATCAAATCGACCATCGGCGATTTGCCGCAGGGCTTGGCCCTGCGTCTCGTGGACAGCAACAGCAAGATTGCACAAGCAGCTCTAGGTCAGTAATTTGCATTAACTTTGCGATCATTTCCTTTCATTCATAATGTAAACATTCTTTCTAACTAACAATGTCACTATGCTTCAGGTATATGTGAAACATTGGCGACGGCTATTGGACCACCGGTAAAGCAGCACGTTCGCGTCCTGTTTCCGGGATTTCTACTGTGTCTGGGTGACGGCAAAAATTGGATCAGAGTTGCCGCGATTTCCTGTATCAATACATGGGGAGATACGTGCGGCTATAAGGAATTCTTCGATGGCGAGATGATAGGCGACGCATTGAAGGCGGGCTCACCGGTGTTGCGGTCTGAACTATGGAACTGGCTGGCGCAGAAATTGCCCCCGATCCCGGTGAAACAGATTCCCAAAGAGGAGCTCTTCGTGTGCCTTCCCTATTTGTATGCTAATCTAGAAGACCGTAACTCGGATGTACGAAAGAACGCTCAGGAAGCTGTTCTTGGCTTCATGATTCATCTCTCTTATGAAGCGATGGTCAGAAACACCGAAAAACTGAAGGTATTTATGCGAATTGCGAGATATCTCCTATATATAGATTTCTCAATGCAATAATAGTAATATTAAAATGTAATGAATTAGCTGTCATTGTATCGTTAATAAAGAATAGAAAGAATTGTAAATTTTTTTGCAGCCAGGGTCGAGGACGGTAGTGATTGCAGCACTGGACAAAGCTCGTCCTAGTCTACCTCTGAAGCCTCTGCCTAAGAAAGAATTGTCAGACGATAATATCCAGAAGGGCGCGAAGGGCGCAAAAGTAGTGAAAGCGGTTAAATCGGTAATTGAACATCATTTGACGAATTCAAGTTAACTCTCTCTAATCTTTTAGAAATTTAATTCTGTATTTTTATAAATACTTTTTTTTATGACGTATCGTTAATCATACATTGTTTTAGAAGGGTACGTCATCGAAACCGGGCAGTGCTCGTAAGAAAGATGACGATGTCGACACCAGTCCTTTGTTGGTGGTCAACAATTTGAAGCACCAGCGTGTGATCGACGAGCAGAAGCTGAAGGTGCTCAAATGGAACTTCACCACGCCCAGAGAAGAGTTCGTCGAGCTTCTGAAGGATCTTATGGCAGCTGCGAATGTTAATAAGACTTTGAGGGCAAACATGTTTCATTCTGATTTTCGATATCATCTAAAGGCTATCGAGGCGCTCACCGAGGTAAGTGTACATATGAATCAAAGCATATATATGAACATATCGGTATTCGCTATTTTCAGTGTTTCATGACAAATTTTACACAGAGAATATTAGCGTCTAATAATCTTTTTCTAACTGAAAAACTTGATGGCAAACTTTACTTACAGTAATTTAATTGCACTAAGTAAAAGTAAGTCATTTTTATCAAATTATAAAAATTTGTGTCTTTTAAAAAGCGTTAATTGAAATTAAATGGTATTTAAATATGAACATATATGTATAAAATATACATTTGATGACATCAATTTTTGTACTTTTTATTGATAATTACAGTTTTTTATACTGGGACTAGTCTGGCGATAGACTGAACCGCGTTTGATTATCTCTTTACTCTTAATAAAATAATCACGAGACACGGTAGTGTCTCGCGCTAAGTGTATTATTATGACATGAACACTCCGAGCTCCTTCTTTTCTTCTTCTGGTGATTTATTAATTATTTAAGTCTTTGCTATCTATTCTTTTATCAGGATCTTCCAGGAAACAGTAAAGCATTGGTATCTAATCTTGATCTCATTCTCAAATGGTTGACATTGCGATTTTTCGATACCAATCCGTCGGTGCTCCTGAAAGGATTGGATTACTTACAATTGGTCTTTAACATGTTAATCGAAGACCAGTATCACGTGTTGGAAAATGAGGCAGCGTCGTTTATACCCTATCTCATTATCAAGGTACGTCGATTTTTCTCTTGGATTATTTCTCACATTAATTTTTTACATGTCATTTTATTATATTTGTTATATTGATTAATAGATAGGTGACCCGAAGGATGCTGTACGTAATGGCGTACGAGCTTTATTCAAGCAAATTGCTCTGGTGTATCCTGTGAGCAAATTATTTTCATACGTAATGGAGGGTTTGAAGTCGAAGAACGCCCGACAGCGAACAGGTAGACGATTCGATTTTTGATGCAAGATGTTACGAAAGTGATACTTGGGTTAAACACGCGTTGATGCTTGCAGAATGTCTGGATCAATTAGGATCGCTAATTGAGAATTACGGAATATCTGTTTGTCAACCCACGCCATCCGCGGCGTTGAAGGAAGTTGCGAAGCAGATCGCGGATCGTGACAATTCCGTTCGTAATGCCGCGCTAAACTGCATCGTCCAGGCCTATTTCCTCGAAGGGGAACGTGTATTCAAGTTTATCGGCCAGGTGCGTACAAGTAAATTTAGTTAACTTTAATTATAACTTAAGAGGAGGAAACGTCATGTTGTTTGTCGCGTAATAGATATCGGAGAAAGACAGGTCCCTATTGGACGAACGAATCAAGAGAGCAGCGAAGAATCGGCCCACAAAGTCCGCATCTACTATCAGACTCTCCACGCCTGTGGTCGCGACTTCTAGTCCACCGACGGATGACATGGAGGCGGATTACGAAGAGGAACAGGAAGAGATTGCCGAGCCAGTGGAGACAGTACCAGAGCTGTGAGTCCTTTTTACACGTGATGCTACAAAATTTCAGCAGCTGCCATCGTGCCGATTGTTTAAAAGGAAATAATCTTAATCTTTTTAATCGGTTTTTTTTTCTCTAACATGATTTTCTCGTGGAATATTATCTCCCAAGTCACTCATGTTTGCATGTGTGCTTCGCTTTTAACATATCCGCAGGACACATGCCAGCACTACTGACAATACTGAGGAAGAGCAGGTGATTTCCGTGGTCATTAATAAATCAGAATCTCCTTCAAACTCGGACCAGGAAATTGTCGACGATGACAAAACCGATACGCAAAATCATCCGTCCGATCGAGATGATTCGGAAACGTTTGTTGCTTATTTTAATCATTTACACAATTGTCTTTGCGGTGCACTCTAACAACGTGGTGCCGGGAAATGTTGCGGAATTTCATCGTGCATCCTGCTTACGATAACTCGTCTATTGTGGAATATTGTCACTTGTCTGTCTGTTCGTTTCAGTTGCAGAGATTTTCTGTAATTTCAATTTATCTCACTTTTCTCTTCTCCTTTTCATCAACATGCTTGAATGTGTCATCTGTTTCGTACCAGAAAATGCAAAAGGGCTCCAGGGATTTAAATGGCTATAAAATAACAAATAATACTTGGCAGTGTATAATAATCTATTCACGTGATGTTTTTCCAACTTGCTTATCTCAATCTCAGTGATGTGTATATTATAGTAGATAATACAAATTGATAAATGAGAGTTTCCTACTCTTCCCTCCTTCACGTTGCTTTATTCAATTTACAAATTAGAAACGTATTTGTTTAGATTGCTGCAATTTAATTTAATGATTAAATACCTCTAACAACATTGTATTGAAGTAGTGGGATATTTGATGTGATTTGTGATGTGTTATTTCTTTAAGTTGCAATGCGAACATGTCAACGAAATCTTCAATTTGTCTTCTAGGAATTCTCCCACAGCGATGCAACCAAAGGTTCCGTCAGGCCCCTTTAGACTAGACATGGAGTTTCTGCAGAAGCCCGAAGTCAAATGTTGTAATCCGGTATTACCGGAACCCAGCTTACTAGATTTGAACGAACCCCCGGTGAATGTGTTGAACCCACCTAAAACACAGTAAGTTAAACCTAATAAAATCATGGATAAAGTTATGGATTATTAATAATTGGATTAATTATATTTACTAAGCAATGTATTGTTGTATTTGAACCGTGTTGGTAACTTTCCGCTAAACTTTTCAGAATGATACCGATTTCGCCACCGAAATTGTTAGTGTCGAAATCGTCGTCCGTTGTATCACCTACTTCTGCTAGCAGTAAAGACGACACCCTCGAGCGTAACATCTTGTCCATGGCCAGTATGGATCTGTCCACTGCGATACAGTCCATGAATGCGATAGAAAACGTTTGTATTTATTCTCTTGACGTTGGAATACGCTACAAAGTTTGACGATTCTCAAAAAGTGCTCTGTGTAGCTTTTCGTTGTGACTTTAGCATGCGAAAATGTAATTAGAATTAGGCAGTCGTTGCGTAGAAATGCAAAGTTTTTTCTTAAGTCCTGCATAATATATGTGTAAATGTCTATTAGCATGTTTATATTGCAGTTGTTACAATCTCATCAAGCGGTCAGCTTGCAATCAAAAGAGGATAAATTTATCGGCTCGATAAATATGCAGTTAAAGCTATTGCAAACGTATCCGTTACGTCAAGAAAACGCGGATGTATCCAGGGGCTTCAGAAATACATTTCTGGTTATACTTGTGGTGGGTGCAACTAGTCTACAATTATATATATTTTAATAAGCGATTTGATGTACGTTAAATATAAGAATTATGAAATTTAATTTTTGATGAAGCATTTAATGAGAAAGTTTTGAACGAATATTTAATGAGAAGTTTAAATTAAACTTCCACAAGCAATTTTAATTTTTATTAGCGATTTAAAGAAGCTTTTATTCCAGTTTTATGACACTGGATTTCTTGGGAAGAATGTCCCTTTCATGCATTTGAAGGAACTGGTAGATCAGATGATAAGTTTGTTGGCTGAAAACAAGTTGGAACATTTGCATCAGGCTGGAGCGTATTACAGAGTGATCAATAACATTATGGTGAAAATTATTGACAATTCTAACCATACCACGATTATATGGTACGATTTATAAGAGAGACGATAACATGATATTTATGTTTAAGTTTTTTTTATTTGTACCTTATTCCGTTTGTTTCCAGTGTATTGATTAAGCTGCTTCATTCCTGCGCTGAGTCAAACGTTCCTTCGAAATACGAAGAGTTGGTGATGAAATGTTTGTGGAAAATAGTGAAAACAATGTCGAACTGGGCTGCTGACTTAGATTACGATACGATACTCTTGGAAGTGCACCGTTTCCTTAAGGTAATGCAACGTTTCGTTTTGTTCAAGTAAACGAGAAGGCATAAGAAAGATTATGTGACAATTTTGCAATATATGTGAATTATTAATAAGTTAATAAAGCTTTTCTGACTATGCTTTAAATATTTTAATGCAATAATATTATATGTTTATAGGATTATCCTACAACATGGTGGAAGAAGCGAAAGTCCGATACTCCGCTACGGACAGTCAAGACGGTTCTTCACAGTATGACCAGAGTGAAAGGCAGTTCGATACTTAACCACTTGACGCTAATAAACAATACGAATGAATCTGAATTACACGCTTACTTAATAAGATTAATCGCGGTTAGTTTCGTATAATTATATATATAATTTTTTTACATATAAAAAAATGGTATCGTCAGGAATTAATTAATGACATTTATCCCAATAGAGTCTTAAGCCAGATGAGATCAACGCCACAGCGAAAGCGACATCAAAACCAAATAATGTGGGAAAGGCGCCAAAGCACTTGTCCAAGTCAACTCGGCAGCAATTGGCCGAAATATTCAAGAAAATCGGATCCAAAGAGCACACGGAAGAGGTATCTATGCATATGCAAATAAATGTTCTGCTTTTTTAAATAATGTAAATTAAAACTTATTCCAGCTCTGGAAATTATTAAATTTTTGTAAACATTATTGATGTAGCTTTTTACTTATTTCGTTGTATTTTAAATTGTTTTGTCTTTACGCATTCCTCAGAAACTCTAATGACGTTTTTAAATTTGAAGTACACCGTTAGTCGTTTGACCATGTTTTCGTAGGGCCTAGTGCAGTTATACGATTTCAAACTTCAATATCCGGAGGCAGACGTACAACCGTTTCTGGTTAAATCCCATCAATTCTTCCAAGACTTCATAGAACAGGGACTGAGGGAGATCGATCAGGCGCGGAAAAGCCAGACTATCTTGTCGCAAACTAATAATCAATACTCCTTAGGTAAGCAGTCTATTAATTAGTTCTTCCGCGAGCAAAAGACAGTTAATGCTACCAAAACGACTTGCTCTCTCGTCGATTTAATATATAATACATAAAATAAAGATGAGACAAAAATCCGCGAGTATTGTTCGAATTTTTAAAATCCAACGTTTCATACGTAACGTAATTATGCAAGAAAAACAACATTGTTTCAATTTAATCAAATACAAAATGAATAATACAGAAACTACCGAGACTTCAGCCGTGGCCGCTGACGGCAAGGACATGATGGATCCAATGTACAGGCTCCAGAAGCTCCGAGCCCTCGAAGCACAGAACAAAATGACCTTCCCGCCGAATCTACCGTGAATGATTAAGCATAAGTATGTTAGTTAGGTAAGCGGGACACGATACATATATACATGTATGTGTAAGGTGAGCATATTGTGTCCGACTTATTTATTCGCATCTTTTGAAATGTTCAATCCCATGGCGTTTTCCACCGCTGAATTTCAACATTGAGATGACCCACCAGTTGCTTTGCGTACGAATCTCTGGTTTTCGATGAGATTGTACATCCGATTACTTGTTCTCGGTGAATTAACTTAAATGATTTGCACACGTTAGCAGAAGACTTGAACGCGAACGCGAATCGTAGGGTATAATATAGCCGCGCTATCGGATTACATCGTTACATCGGACAGCGTAATGATTCTGCGTTCTAACCGTAGTAACGTTACGTTGCCCGCAATGTAACGACGATACGTGCATGACCTTTTGTTTCTTCCACTGCAGTTATGTATAGTTAATAATAATGTTACTATTTATGTAAGGTCATATAACGGTATACGTATGTATAAGTATACGAAACTTGCACGATTCAAGCGTCGATCTTGTCGTAGTACGATTTTATTTTACGATCTTTAATTTAGTATTTAATATTTTTTTTACAATTTTTTCTAAATAAATTTGTTCCATTTGAACTCGATTAGATTCATAATCACTACATCGTCGTTATTTTCGCAGAACCTACTATTTTCGCAAAGAGAAGGGAACTTTAGAATGATACATATCATTTCAACTTTTGTATCCGGTCTCCGGAAAAGTTATAGTTAAAAAAAGAGAGAGAAAGAGGTAAACGATAGACGAACCGATATAACCCAGCGCAATATACAATGAAGTATTAACTGTAGGCGGAACACTTTTTCTTTCATATCACTGCATAAAAAACATCGCTGTATAATGGCGAGATAAAAAAAAAGACCTTAGACGTTTTCTCGTAAAGGTCCGGTTCTCTCGTAAATGTTTTAATTTTAACGTTCTTCAAAGCATTGTGTAGACACCGCACCGAAAACTGGAAAAGATTTGTGCCTATCGAGGTTTACACGTCAGAGATATAAATATTTCTTTTACGAGTCTTTACATGGGAGACAAGAATAGGAGGTTTTGCGAAAGCAACAGCGATCTGTTCTATTTATTAAGAACGCAAACTGTCATATTCCAGTATTTAGGGATAGGAGCAAAAGATAGTAGCTAGCAATCGGCATCGATACTTCGTTTATTACTCGATATGATAAGAAAAAAAAACCGATGTTAAGCTGTGAAAAGCTCATAACTAAAAACATCCAGGATTAGAGTTTTAGTTTGTCTATTTGAAATGTCTGAAATATGAATTTTAATATTGAATTTTTTAATACCGATAGCTTCGAAAAAATGTCTCGCGCGATTTTATACTGATACCAAGTAAAATAACTAAGTCCCACAAATAAGTTTTAGTGTTTACAGAGTATTTGCAAGAATTAATTAATCGCGTGATTATTATAAATTAAGTTAAAGCCATAAATTAAATCATATTACACAATAAACAAAATGCGTATGTTACACGATGTAACTGCAAATTACGATTACTAATGGTACTGTAATTATTTTTCCGCTTGTTTATGAATAAACGTCATTAGATACTCGTGATTAATGAAATTTTTAAGTTACGAGGTTTTTGTGGCTTGACAATGTGAAAAGCGCATTCACCTTTCTATTACCGGTGAGAGAAAAGATAACGAAGGAAACGTAACTAATAATATATAAAATGGAGGAAAATAGAAACTACTTTACTATCTGAAAATCTTACGATTCGAAGTTGCTCTATTTGAGAACTTACCGCTTTTCTCCCCCAAGACTTATATTCTGTAGTGTAAATAGAACATGTATATACATGCACTAATAAAAATGATATTCGACAAAGCTGACATGTCCGACAAAGCGAGAAAATACAAGACTTCCCTTCACAATACGTTTGTAATATTCGACAGCATTGAGCTGGATTCCAAGACTTTCAGTCGATTCTCAAAACAGATTTCTGATAATCGAATCTTACAAATCGTGTAGAAGTGGCCTTCTTTCGCAAAAAAAAGGTATTTTAATTTCTACGCGTCTTGCAATTGCTCGTGTTACAAAAATTCGCGGCAACGCAAAATAATGGAAATATGTAGAACATGACTTTCATGCGTAACGATTTTATATTTGCATATTTATTTTACAATATTTGTTTCAGCACACAGAAGCACGTTTTTTTTTGTACAATATAGTATAATTAAAATAGATTTTTCTAAATGAGGATTAATTTTATACATGTTCAGCGTATGATAGGAAAATTCTATTTACAATTTCTGTTGTACTGAAAGTTTTGTTCTATTCATTAAACATATCAACATTTCTTTGTTGTATTCTTTGTTTCGTTAAAATCTTGTCTATTTGTCTACGGCATCATGCCGATACAACATTCTTTTGTTATATTATCATCATATATTACAGTATTCTCTTTGATATCTTACAAATGGCATATACACATGTGGTACAGGCGACAAGCTTATTTATATGAAGTACAATTGAGTAATATATTCATGTCTGCGCGCAGACGTTAGGTACACAAATTCGATAAAATATTGCATTAAGAGAATCTGGTTTGAATGCCGCATCGATATTATTATTAATTATATCAACTAGAAAATAGTTAATACAATATAAATAATAATAAAGATCACGAAATATGTTACTAACACAAGAAACTGTCTTGCAGAAAATGTAATTTTTTCATCCTGAGGAACTCCACGACGAGAATGCGGCATTTCGATTGTTTTTATAATCGATAACGGAAAACTAGGGACACAGACTTCGAGAGAATAGATACGGAGTTTATCCGCACTATCGCTTAATTGCTAGCGAAGTAATTGGGTTCCTCGTCGATAGCGAATGTACAATGTATACATAATCTATATTAAGAAGACCGTTCTCTCTCGCCGGCCGAAACTGGCTGGCGTTCGATTAACTTCGTGATTTTGCCAAAATTCTAGTAGAACAGATCACACTCTGTACAAACATACAACATTCTCGCAACATACACGATATACAATATTCACGAAGTAATACAAATACTGGAAATCTCTCTGAAGGACTCAAACATTTTCTACAGGGTTGACGAAGAGCGCCGTTATGGCAAATAGCAGGAACACCAAACCTCCAATAATGGTCACTGAAAATATCAGAGTAAGTTGGACTCGTTAGTTTCCTGCAAGCCTCCGACATCGTGATCAACTTGTATTGCGTGTACGCGACAAAATCATTCGAATTACCTGTTCTCACTGATATTTTTTGAGCTATTATACGTCCTCCTAAAACCGCTAAGCCTGTACAAAACGAATGGCCCAGTATTCCACCTAGTACCACACCGTAAACATCCTGTAAATAACGATCGCAATTAAGCGCTGTTACGTACGCATAGAGACATTACTGTTGCAGTAAAACTGTTGCGTGAAGGTACCTCTCTTGCAGCGAGGATAATGGTCGTTAACTGAGAGCGATCGCCCCATTCCGCAAGAAAGGTAAGCGTGAACGCCTGAAAGAATATCCTAGAAAGCAGCATGAGCGCACTACTTTTAGTAGTTTTACGTATTACTCCGGTTTCAGGATCCTGAACCAAAGTACTCGTCGTCTCCTTTTCATACTGAAAGCGATGACATTTTAAAGATTATTCAACTTCCTGCAAAAACGTTAGACGCACCATTTAGACAAACAACTCTCTTTTATTACACTCTGTAAATTAATTCTTTGAACAGAAATTTTTCTGTAATTCTTTCGTAAGATTGAACAGAGAAAATCACTGTGTTTAAATAGACGGTGCAATAAGGTTCGATTTAAAATTTTGTATCTTTAGTGTAATCTCAAAAATGCTGCAATTTATATTCCAACACGTTTCTTCGAAGAAACAGCAATTCTTTTCCATTGTTCAAAATAATTCTTACGAGATACTGCTCTACGATTAAAAACAGAGTTTTGTCCAAATTAAATTCAAGCATTATTGATCCATTTTAGTTTAACAAATAAAAGAGTAGCTACAACGGGATATTTCAACATTTCTATAATATTCTATTTAACTATCTCGTTTAGCTAGAACAATTCTCTTCGCACTCATTCTCGCGCGTAAAATGTTACGTTGCATCCGACAGATTTAGAAACATCTGGGCAGCATCTGTATACCTCGTCGTCTCTTTTCCTCAGGTCCGACTGCACCTCTTCTAACTCGTCTTGTGCTTCCGTCGCCGACATGTAGTACCCGTCTCGCAGCATTTTCAATCCGAACAGAGCGAAGAGCAGAGTGGAGATGTAGTAGGTGTAGGCACGAGGAATTATCGTCGCTGCGTATCCGAACACCACTGAAAGCAAAGGACGCTTAACGTTATAACTGCCGCCTGTGACAATTCCACGCAAACATAGCAAAGTAAGTTGCAAATTATTATTGTTGTACATTAACGAAAGGATCGCTGTATCTGAAACATTGGTCTTGCGTTAACAGCACTCAAAGGTCCACCAAGGAATCGAGACAAGTGCGTATTTTACATGCAACGGCCCAGCAGTAGCGCCTGTGAAATCGCTAGATGTTCTATCGCGATGATACCTGACAGAATAGTCATCAGCGCGAGGGCGCTTATCGCCCCGATGAATACAGTCAATCTTGGATGCTTCATCGCCATAATAGCGGCGATGAAGAACGTCTTGTCCCCCAGCTCCGACACCACGATGACCGACAAGGATGCTACGAAGGCGTGCAGGAAGCCCACTCTGTCCTGTGGCCTCTCCGAGACGAACTCGGGCAGTTTCTAAAAACATTGCACGAGTTACAGCTCACGGACTTGCGTACGTCAGGGAGTTCTCTCTAACGTTGCTTCTAAAGCTTGTAACTTAATAATAATCAAATTTACAGGCCCTGGGTGGTGTTTTAGAATTTTCAAGGCGTTCAGATCTGGCTGTGAAAGTTGCTTTCGTACTTTTCAACGTCTTCAAAATTTGAAAATTTTGTTAGGAGCGTCGGAGCAAAAGTGTCTTTTGAGACCCTAAACGTTACCACGAGTCTTTGTCAATTTAACGAAATTCTCTTCGTAAATAAAGCTCCTTTTTTTCAGTTCACAGTCACGAGACATTTTGAGGGGCGCCGAGAGAGATCTTACCGAGTTAAATCTTGGGAGCTTACCGTCGACGTCGCGGACAGTTGAATTTTCTCATCGTAACGCGGCTCGATCTCGCAGACAACGGCCGACAGACAGATCGTCAAAATCAGGGAGCAGGCGTAAATTAAACGTTCGGCTCCCATCGTGCGCTACTTCGAGGTATTAAATTTTACTAATGCGGCAGATACGCGTGACAGACGTTGCGCTTGAGATAACCTCGCAAAAAAAACGTCCTCGTCCCGGATCTACAGAAATCATACCGCGATCGCCATGTTGTTTTCCTCGCGATCCGCGAGAAGGTTAGGATCAGGCTCGGCGCGCCGGAGAGCGGCGTTCGTGTCGCGCGCAGACGCGAATCGCGTCGCGCGATTTCCGACCGTGGATCCGAGTTCAGCCAATCAGGCGAGGCAGCCTCAGACCCGATTGGCTGAATTCCAATTTTAAGGACTCAAGGCCCGTCCATACAGATTGGCGGAACCTGACGAAGCCCAGGACAAATTAAATACCCATCTGCAATGGAGATTTAAAATCTAAACCTTCAGAAATTAATCACAGTCGCGTATTCTACTCATACTTGAACCGTGATTGGTCAATTTCTTGAGGCTTAGGGCTTAAATCATCTATTGCAGACTGGGACTCGTGAACCAAATTTCGAATCGAAATTTCAAATCAATCGAAAGCTTTTCCGATTTCTCCGCCCAACCTCGGATTTTCTATCGTATACGAAAGCTTCGGTTTACCCGCTGGAATCGAGGACAAATAAATCTCGCCCGGGGATGGCACAGAATACTAGGGGGCGTGTATACTTCCCATTTTATTCTCGTTATTATTTCATACTTCTTGAAATCCAAACACATCTATTTGTCTATCGACGAAATGATATATTTATATATATATATATATAATAAATATCCGCATTATATATCCTAAAATTAACAAAATATCTTTCCTTTTATGTTTGTTTATCTTCCTTGGTCTAAAGTGTGTACGCAATTTTTTTATTTTCTTCTCTATTTTTTTCTTTTTTAAGAAGCTTCTCTTTCTTCCAAAGACATCGTTTTATAAATTTAAATGCAGTGTATACGTCGTAACAACAACCAGCCTTATCCAATAGTTTATTCATTATTATTATTATTACTACTACTACTAACTACTACTGCTACCACTACTGCTACTATTATATTATCATTATTATTCGAGAAAGACGTTGCGAAGCGGATAAATCAGATGTGAACGTAATCGTACCGATTGTAAAAGCCCTAAACGCGTATCAAATCTTTCGTGAGAACGTTGGAAAAGGCGGACGATGAAAGAAATATATCTCCAAGGACCTGGTCGCGCGTAGCCGCTCCTTCACTCCCGTTGGGACAATCACTTGCGCGCAAACGAAAAACAAAAAAAAAAGAAACGAAAGGAAGAGAAAGAAACACGAGGCGTATGACGTTCGTTAACAGCCCGGGACTGATTATTTATACATCTTTCTACGGGACTACGTTTAATAATACATCGGTCTAAGGAACCTCAAGAGACGATAATAAGGAGTATCCATCTCTCCAGTTTGATTTACATCAGATTCTGCTGAATAAGGGCGGCACGTATGTTCGTCCGAGCGAGCCGAAAGGGAGTCGTAATCTCATTGAAGATATCCTCCTCTTCCGCCGTCGTGGAAATTTGCTTCTATTTGCTTCTATTTTCACTTCTTCCTTTCTCCCCCAATCGGATCGCAATCGCATTGGGGCGCGTCGCGAGCAAACCGGTACAAAATAAGGTACAGCCGAGAGAAAGACGAGAAGTAAATTTAGCCCCGGCAAGCCGAACGCGAGACTCCGCGCGAGATTCGTCGCTGCGATCGTGTATATCGGATTATGACATCAGGAGGATGAGAAAGCGGGTGTCTATTTTCGCATATCGTATCGAGATATAAATTCGAAGAGCGAAAGAGAGTGAGAAATTTGCACGCGCGCATTAACAGACGCACACGTGCACAGATCTGATTATTTTGAATCCGTAGCTCGTTAGTTTATTTAACAGGTCCACGATACGTGGAGAATTTATTAATTTTTTTTAATAGTTTTCACCATGGATCGTCTATCAGTTAAAAGGAAAGAAGCTTGATCGTCAAAAAAATGTTTTCTAGAAAATAGGAAATTGGATACTCTGTACTTGTTTGAGCAAGTGACAATGTAGTTCAAATAATGAGGAAACATCATAATCCGGCACGTTCGTAGCGACCGATCGGGGAGCAAACTCGCGCACGAATCTAATTCCCTAAACGAAATGAAGAATCCGACCTCGCTGCTCAAGATCACTACTAAGCGCTGGCGGTAGTAACGCGTGAGAATTCACATCTCTGACGGTGTAAAGAAAAAAAAAGAAAGAAAGAAAACTCTGTATACATGTAGAAAGAAAGAGTGCCTTCACACAGACATTCATAGACGAGGATCAGCAACAGTAATGTCTCCTGTATGTATTACATCGTCGTAAAATAGAAATTTGTAGAAATCACTATGTACGGCTAAAGTGTCTTAGTTAAGTAGACATCATCTGGCGCGATCGGGGGCCGCGCGGGCGAGTCAGGGTAGAGTGTAGCGCACGTACGGCACCTCGACGTCGTTCCCGTCCTCGTCGTTGCAGCACAGCTCGAACACGAGGGCGCGCACGTGCGGCTCCAGCTTCTTCTTCGACACCTTCTTCACCACCTCCGACATTAGCAGGCCCATACGCTCCTGGCACTTGGGCTTCGCCATGAAGAACGAGTACAGCATGCAGATACCCTGCGACAGCATTGTCACTTCCAGATTGTGGCGCTCCTTGAAGTAGTCGAGGAATTCCTTCAACGTCAACTCGCCCTTCACTTCAAAACGGTCCCACAACGTCCACTCGATGTCGTAGTACTTGAGCTTGGGGGCGGCAATCGGCTCGCTGAAACCGAAGAACGGTAGCGCCAGGTTCACGAAGCCGTTCTTGTAGAGCGACAGGTCGCGTACGCCGCGCGTCAGCTTGTACAGTTCCAGACAGACGAGACCGGCTACCACTGAGGTGGTGGTGGCGATCGCCGGGATGATCTTGCCGGCGATCAGTTTGCTCTTGTGCCGATCCGCCGGCGAGATCTTGTAGTTGGTGGCGCGCAAATTCGACGCCGCGACAATGAAGTCTATGTGGAAGTTGGTGTCGTCGTCTTTCTCGAATTCCTGCGGGTAAATCGCCAGGCCGTTCAGATTCTCCACCTTCGGCAGCTCTTCCTGCAGCTGCGACAATCGTTCGTGGTCGATGTTGCCGCTGCCGTTCGACACCTGCACCTGAAAGCATAATCGCCCTTTAATTCTCCGTTTCCCTCTCTTCCTCGACATCGCAAAAGTACACTTGGTCGAAAGAAAATTTCTGGTCTCGAGTATTTTCAATATCTTAAGATTCCAAAGATTATTTTATCGACACTGATATAAGATCTTGATACTCTCTTAACAAGCTTTCCAAGAATTTCAAATTTTGAATAACACTCGATGCAAAATCTCCATCGATTACAACGTACGTTAGTTGGGTTCCTACCTGCGAGTCCGTTTCGGCGATTTTCACGCCGGACTTGGGCGTGAAGACCGGTACTTTGACGGTGGCTAGGATCCTGGCGATCTCTTCTCTGTCGCGGTTCGTGGGTATCCCGTAAACTTTGGCCTTGAGATTGGCACCGGCAACGATGTAATCTATATGCAGAGAGTCATTGACGTCGAAGGCCAGTGGATCCGGACAGCGTTTCGGGCCGGACCAGAAGGGCTGGCCGCTCGAGGTCACCTGATCCGGCGGGAAGTTGAACAACAGCTGGCGGATTTGATTGCTGTACTGCTCCTGCCAGTGGCAACGGGCCCATGCCACGCAATCCGCGAAGTTGTTCGGCCTCTCGTCGACCAGCGCCGTTTTGACGGACTCCAGCACCTCGAGGGGTTGCACACCGGGCAGCTTGAGCGTCCGATCGACGAACTGCCCGTCGGAAATGTACTGCGCCGCGTTCTCCGCCGACTGGCGGAACAGGCCTTCGAAGTTGTCGCGGGCCCATTGCAGAGTGTGCTCGATGGCGTTGGGGAAGTTCTTGAGCGTGCAGATGGGAATGCTCTTCTCCGGCGGGTCCTGCGACGAGCTGTAAGATTCAGTGAGGAACGGCACCACAACCTGAGTGTTGCCCTTAGTGCCGAGTGTACCGGATTCCAGTAGGGGTTTACGATAGTACACGCAACGACGGTCCATGTAGATGCGGGCGTTGACGTTGTCGAGCGCGTTCGCCACGCCGTCCAGCACCTCGAAGAAATCGTCGTTGTAGATCTTCTCCGTCTCCGGGCACACCCGATTCTCGTGCGCGACCACCTTCATGTCGGGATTCATGCCCTTGATGACCCTGGCCGCCGTCGACGACTTGGACTGCTGCACGTCCGACGGTCTGAACAGAAACTGCCGATTCAAGTTGGACTTCTCGATTAGGTCCATGTCTGTAACCGTGACACAACCGTTCTCCGCGCCGACGCCGACCATCGCAAAGTTCTTCAATAATTCACAACCAATTGCACCGGCACCGACCACGAAGTACTTCAAGCTGCCGATCTTGGATTGGAATTTCTTGCCGAAAACAGCCACCTGAAAAGTTTAATTAACGATTATACCGCGTAGTGAAATCAAGTGCCTTCGTACTTTCGTTCATAGATGAAAAGTATAATTCGGCCGAGTTAGATTACTGCCAGGAAGCAGGTTTGATATTCAACTTTCTTCAAATTCTCCGAAAGTTCTCCGAAGAAAACGTCAGTCACCGGTCAACATTGTACCTGAGAATCGTAACGGGATCCCGTGGGACTGCAGTCCTCCTCGGTGAGCTCCGAACGGTCAACGGGCAGGCATTCGATGGCGTCGAAGTACAGCCATTGATAGATGGGGTGGAACTTGCCGGAACAAGCCTTCATCACCTCTTGGGCAACGATGCCGCCGATCGTGGCGTTCATGGGATTCAAGTCGCCGGCGGATACCTTGGCGAACGTGCGCAGCAGCTCGCCGTTTATCTCGGTGTCAAATCCGTGGCTGTCCTTGACCTGCTCGGCGAGGGCGACGAACTCGTCGGCGTCCGACTGGTTCCACGATCGCGGCAACGTGCCCCTGTCGGCCATGTACTGATGCAGCGTCAGGAAGGCCAGATGCAGCTGCTCCGGATAGTCGAATTTGCCGAAGTCCGTGACGAGAAACTCTGGTTTCTTCAGGGCCGTTTGTAACGGCGTGAAGTGCAGGGTCTTGGGCATCTTTACCTGGGTCACGATACCACTGCGCACGTACTCGGAGAACCTGGCGACATTCGACTCGTCTTATTAGACTGACCGAAATCTCACCAAAGACAATATTCTCTTAATTATATATATCTTCGTCTTTATTATCATCATAAAAAAAAATTAAAGGTAAGAAGGCTCACAATAATAAAATCAATATTTAAAAACATGTATAAATCAATTACAGTGTAAACGCTTTTATTTTAAGGACTTGGCACAGATGGAGGTAGCCGTGAATTCACTGACGCCAATGATTCCGTCTAATTGTAATGGCGCACAGGACAGAATGGCATAAATACGGTGTACGGATTCACATGACAATTCAAGTGACCACCTCCATCTGTGCCAGGTCCTTAAAATAAAGGCGTTTACACTGTAATTGATTTATATCTTAAAAGGACCGGGTTGAAAATTTAGTGGTAAAAACGCATATGTTATATCCTAACTACATTGTATACTGTTCCTTCTTTCAACAGAAACAACGAGAAACTGAAAGTCACACAGTGTGAAACTTGGCCAGTCAGGGCTCATGTACGCGTCCCAATTTTAAATCCCCGAGCGAGACGACCGTGTGCTTCACCTGGAAGTGTCGCCAATGCTGAAAGTGTACGGGCCCAGCACTTTGATCTTGATCGGCTCGCACCCGTTTAGCTCGGTCATGCCCTGCACCTCGGAGAACGTGACGTAGTCACCGTCCTCCATGCCGTGGCGTGTGTCGTCCAGGCAGGTGACGACGCCTTCGCTGTCGCGCGAGACGCTGGCGACCATCGCGCTCACCGGCGGCTCGCCATTCGTGTCCACCACCGTGAACGACTCGCCAAAGTCGCAGAACACCTGCGAGAAGAGGCCGCGGGTGTCGGCGAGTATCAGGGCGATGTCGTTGGCGCGGGTGATCTGCGAGATGCGCAGCTGCTCGGTCAACGGTGTCTCCGTCAGCACCACGACCTTGAACTGCTGAATGTAATCCTCGCTCAGCGGGCCGGAGTAGTGGCGAGTAGGCACGTAATTGTTCAGCTCCGACAGGCGTTGACAGCATGCAGCCGCACGATTCTTACCTGTGGAGCGGATCCAGTTTTAGCAACGGTAAATATTGCTTTTATTTGTGCTATCGACTGCTAAACCGTTGTGCAATTACAAAGCTGTGATAACAGGCTTATCAATTCCCTATTAATTTCGGTAATGTATCAGACACTCGCCAAGGTCTTGTAAAAGATCAACTCGCAGGCTGACGAGGGATATTTTTGTAGTTACGAATTTCAATACTTTCGATCTTTATCTTATTAAACGTTTTTTATCAGCATAGACCGAGTACACGCAACCTGGGGGGAAATTTTTAGAAATTCAGTTTTGTCAAACTACACGCATTAATTTAGCATGTATTTATTATGACTTGACTTTATATATTTAATGTGAGGCTCAAAATCTTTTATCTCGTACATCTTGGAATCGACATGACAGACTCTTTAGGACAAAGAGTGTATTGTTGTGTCTTTAAAAGTGTTTAAAGTCGCTCAAGTAACGTTTTGCGGGACAACCTTTTCACGATGACTTGCGCTAATAGCGCGCAGTTTGCAGTTTTACATCACGTTTCTAGCGCACAATAAGAATAACGACAACTGCGTAACTGGATGGTGCAATAGAATTATAATTTGCTTAACAATAGCGACAGCTGCGCCTTATCTCGATTTAAATCTTATCGCCCCGCAGATTGGAATTGTGCAAGTTTATCGCCGGAAAGAAAGCCGAATCTCCCCGATAAATACAAGAAACTTCAATCTTCCTCTCCTTTCTTCTGCCAATACGCATAAAAGATGTAATACTTTTCACTCATTGAATATCGTCCAACCATTGAATTTGACTTTCAATGCGGATAGAAGAGCGCAGTCGAAACGAGTACGTGGAGAAGCTTTGCAATTCTTTTTATAGATTGTTTCGCAACATGGCATCATACTTCGTTTCCCCTAGATCCTTCCGATTTCCGGTGTTTCGCATTAAAATCGGCAAAAAAAAAATGTAGCAAATTAACGTCGACTGAAAATCGGCCACGGGAGATCGAGAGGACGCGCGCGCTTTTCTTCGTCCTCGGCGCAGCTCACGTGTTTCCGACCGGCGTCGCGCACGGGACGGCGTGCGCGCTTTATCCTCACCTACGTCCGCCTCGGTGAGATAGAACTGCGAGCCCAGATCGGCGAGTTTGCAGGCGGCGTGGTCGTGGAGGGTGACGGACTTGACGCCGCCGAGGATGATGTTCTTGGCGATCTCGACGCCGAGGCCGCCGAGGCCGGAGATGAGCACGTCCGAGGACGCCATGCGGCGCATGGCGTCGTGTCCAAGGACGTAGAGCTGCCGCGAGTATAGACCCTCATCGATCTCGGCGGGCGCCCGGCCAGCGGTGCCGGCGCTGGTGCTCGTGGAGCCGTTCTTCGCCATGTCTACGTCCATCTCCGCCACGTTCGTCGTCGTCAGCTCGTCGTCGGCTCCTCCCGTCGTGCTGGCAGCACCAACGCGTCGCTTCTTGGCTGGGGGATCAACGGAGCTGTCCGCCACCTCAGCACTAGACATCGGAGGACTTGACGGACGTGTTCACGGGGACGTCGGATTATGTGCCGCCGATTATTTCCCCTGATTATGCTCTCACTCACACACACATACACACATACACACTCTCTCTCTCTCTCTCTTTCACCCTTCCCTCTTTTCACTCCCTCGCTCTATCTCTATCTATCTATCTCTCTCCCTCTCACTCTCTCTCCCTCTCCTCGCCGCTTCTCTCGACCGCGCTTGCCACCGCGCCGCGCACACGGCTCGCCGAAGCTCGGATGCACCTCTGGTGCCGACACTGCCGACGGCGACGACACCACCACGACGAGAGGACGGATACCCAGCCACGGACGCGCACCGACCAACCTCACACTGCCGCCGCACACGTCTCCCCCACCACTCTCCTCCCCTCCTCCCTCCTCACCGCTCCTTTGCCCCCTGTTCGACCGCCACCACCGCCGCCGCCGCCGCCGCCGCCGCAGCCCCGCGAACGCGCCCTCGCTGGCCGCCTATCCGCGGCCCCGCGCGACTGCCACACACCACCGCCTACGCGTCCACACTCTGCGGAACAACCCGCCGTCTCTGATGTCCCTCGCCGGAGAACGTCGACGTGCGGTAGGCACGCAGCGTGGCACGACACAAAAATCTCGCTCTCTCTCGTTTTCCGCCCGATCCACCGAGACGACGCTGCCGCGCTTCTCGCCCCACCCCCCCTCGCTCGCTCCCATTCGCTGTTGCTACACGGATTCCGTCGATTCGCCCGCCCTCGCTCCGGAGCTGTCGCCGTCGCCGCGACCGACTCCGATTGGTGGACGCGCCACGAGTCACGGAGACAGCAGAGCGCCGGCGCGCGCCGATCACCCGACGCGTCCCGCGCGCTTTTTGAATGTCCGATTGTTCGCGATTCGAGTTGTCTTTCTCTCCGGACTCGCCTCGAAACGCCAAAGGTGGTCGAATTATTGTTTATTTTACTCGTTATGTTCCCCTGTTGAATTTACTGAATCGTAATTTGTTATGTTGAAAGTATTTAATTTGAAAAACGCAAAGGACCGGTTTTTCTATTAACGTAAGAACGACGGCGTTCTACTTGATATCGTTTCGGGAGACCGTTTTGCGGACGCTCAGCTTTAGGGCCATCGCACACAAAATTGCATAGTTGCATATGCATAGCACAAGACCGTCTGGACCAATGAGCGCGTTATGTAAATCAATATGGCGACTCAATGTTCGATGTTCATTGGTTCAAACGGTTTTCATGCTATGCATATGCAGCTGTGCAATTTTGTGTGCGATGGCCCTAACTTTTGGAACTATTTCATTACGCATTTTCTTACTCTGCCGATAAAGTTTCCACTTGGTGCACGTCTGTGCTACGCATTCTAACGTCTAATTTATAAAATTTACATTGTCCACTTGAGAAAAGTTGATGTGAATGTCGTGCGGATAATTTATGTTAATGTAATTTGGAATTTCACAGCACAATCCTGAAAGATAGCATTGACACGCACAAAGTGGTGACTTTATCGACAGCGCCAGAAGTTGCGTAGCAAAATAGTTCCAAAAGTAAAAACGGGCGTGAAGGCGCGCAAAACAGCCTCTTGAAACGGTATCGAGTAAAACGCCGCTCTTAGGCCGGTATTCATATAGCGTTTTCGATTTGCTGACTCGACCCGACTCCGAGTCAGAAAAGTTTGATCAAGAGTAAGATTTTTGTAGAAATTGTGGTTCAAATCTTGCTTTTGATCAAACTTTTCTGACTCGGGGTCGGGTCGAGTCAGAAAATCGAAAACGCTATTAGTCCGTGCTTATATTTAAGAAAATGTTAAAGCGGGAAGCACACACTTTTGCATAAGTGCATAAACATATGCATAACGAATTTGATTGGTCCAATTCCTTATGCATTTGCTTATAGACCAATCAAATTCTTTATGCATATGCTTATGCACTTATGCAAAAGTGTGCGCTCCCCGCTTTAACCCGAAGATCGTCGACTTATTATCCCGACATATGCGTTCGCATTTTAGCCCCGGGGCGGGACAGAAATTCGCGCGGCGCGTAATGGCGCGCGAAACGTTTTGCGCGGAACGTTGGCAGCGCGCGGGCGCCAATCGCAGCGCGCGCTCACGTGACCGCGAGCGAGGGCGCGAAGAGCGCCGCGGCCAATCGGAATGCGTCCCTCGCGTCGACGTCGTTCAGCCGCGTTGGAGCTGTGTTGGATGGAGTTTCAAGTTTTCAGGAAGACTCCTGGCGTTTTCGCGAGCTCGGCCGCGAATCTCGGATCGCGAGTCCGCGGGAGCGGCGATAAAACTGCGGAGCAACGACCCGGGAGGTAAGAGTTTGCGGCGAGTCTTCCGATCGAGAGAGAAGTCGACGGCGCTACGCGGGCGAACGCGCCATTTCTCGACGCCATGTTGAAAAAACGCAAGTTTTGCAGACCCGACGCAATTGTAACCGACGAAATCTAAATTTAAATGTTATAATTTGAGGTACGGGCGTTTGGAAAGTGACAGAGAAACACGCCAAGTTTCCGGAGGGGGAGTAGACGTGGAGGGAAAGGACGCCAAAGAGCTTTTGCTTTCAATCCGCTTTAATTGGTAAATTTCTCTTACACTTAAATTTATCTCTATTTTATTCTGTACAACTCTCGCCGTTTCTTTCTCCCGTAGCTCACGGCGGAGACGGTATATTGTATATATTCGCTAAGAGAGGGGCTCCCAGGTGGAACGCGTGAAGCTTGCAACGGCATGACGTCATCAGGACTCAGGGTCAGAGCACAACGCGACGTAACAGCTTGCGGCAAAAATGCAAGCGTGAATGTAACGTCACACGTAATTGGAGGTAGGTACGACATACGCGAGAGTTTGTGCGCTAATCTACGTTTACGCTCTGCGTCATTGTCGTAGGCTATTACGTTGCTTCCCGCTCAGACCCTCATTCATCGCTTCAAAGTTTCACTGAGGTCGCTTACAACGTCATCCACGACTTGCTCCACCTGGGCATCTGACGTAAGTGTACGTGTATACGTGTAGTCGTGGCATATTACAATTACAAATATGAGTAAGTCGCATGATCAGCGTACAAATAGGTGACACTCAAAGTTTCTCGTAGAATGAGGAAAAAAAAGGGATCGTCCTTTTTCGCCCGCCGCGAGAACGAGTCTTTCACGAGCCTGCACGTCCCTGTTCGGCCTTGGGAGAGAGGACAGCTGCGTGTCTCAAAACCGCGCTTCGTCGTCGTCGTCGTCGACGGAGACCGGGCTGCCGAACGCCCGCTGCTCGTCCTTGCCCTTCCCGCCGGCGTGCCTCCTGTCCTTCCCGCTGGGCCGCGGGCGCGACCTCCGGTCTCGCGGCTCCGGTTCCGACGTCGCGAAGGGCGCGGGCGAGTGCGATATCGGCGGGAAGGGGATCGAGGGGGCCGAGTCGGCGGAGTCGGGGGCGGAATTGCCGCCCTCCTCGAGAGGGCCGCTCAGGATCGAGTCGGGCGAGCCGTTAGACTGCTCGGTGCGCATCTCGGTAGCGACATTGGCGGCCGCGCCCGTGGTAGCGTTGGTGGTGGCGGTGGCGGTGGCGGTGGTGGTGGAGCCGTCCGCAGCCGGCAGGTCGCTCGACCTCGACCTCGTCGGCGGAGGCTTGCCCTCCTCAGGGACCGTCGAGGTGCGCCGCAAGGTCGTCCTTTGACCTTGACTGTCACCGCGCGTGTCTTCGGTTAGTTTAGCCGGTTTTGCTCGGGCACGGGGCGCACGCGGGTGGCGAGCGTCAAACGTGATACCTCGGAGAACGTTGGAGCGTCTCGCGCGAGACGAGACGAGAAGCCGGGGAACTCCCGTCTCGGTTGGAATGTAACGCGGTTTACAGGTAATCGACGTACGGAAGGCTTCGAGGCTTTTCATTATAAGATTTCTTAAAATCCCGGCATCGTTCGTCACGTCTGCAAGTAAAAGCCCGAGTAGAACGTGGGGTTTTTTTTATCTACGCTTTCTGAACGTTTATGAAGTACTAGACGTGCTTGAGATACGTAAAACGTATATAAACCACCATGTGCTACCTGGAAAATGCGTTTCGTTTGACATAAAAATCGGACAAAGAATGACAAGCGAGTTTTTAATTTCGAAATCCCGTCGGAGGCCATTTTTCTGTCGTTCTCAAAATTGAAACGGCCCAGAATTCGACGTCGGTCGACGTGTCTCGAAATAAAATTTGGACGGGAGTTGCTCTTTCTTCAAAGAAATTTCCAAAATTCTCTACCGCTAGGCAGAACGTGCTCGCTGGGTATCACGCTTGATGCGATCATTCATTGCAAATTTCTTAAAGCGCATTTACACTCGTCAGGCACGCGAGAAATGCACTTCTGGAAAATATGTTCTTTAAAGTTAAAAAGAGAAACGTATAATTTCAAAAAACTGAACGATGTATAAAAATGCGATACGACAAGTGAAGTGAATAGTCACGCAAACTTTTTGTAAAAAAAATATATAGCAAAATAATGATATGAAAAATAATTACACTGATAACGAAAGTAATGCGTTATCATCATCGAAAAACTTATTCGTTAGATCAAACGACAAGTTAGATCGCAGTAAGATCGAGCCACTTACTGATTTATATCCACTGGTGAGATTCTCTGTTCCGGACTGATCATAGACCGATTGCCGTTGTCCCACGAATTGTGCCGACGGTGATTGCTCTTGTCCTTGTAGGCCTCGGCAATGTTGTTGTAACTGCCGACGATCCTCCGCTTGTCGAGCTCCTTAAGGACCTTCTCCGGCATGCTGCCGGCTGATCTGTACAGTCCGCTACCGAGCGTGTGCTGTGACAAAAGATGTGTATCGCGTATAACAGAGAATATTGCGGTGTATTTCAGATATCGCGAATGCAAGTCTTCGATCTCGCGCAGGGTCGATAATTGTTCCAACCTCTTGGTAAATTAATAATTAAATCATATGTACGTCTTCCTTTGACATATAATTTAACTATTAGTCACCAAGAAGTTAGGAAAACCGGCCCATAGTGATCTGACGAGGCTTTAGTCTAACGAGAATTAATCTCACACGTCACAATAATATCTTGCTAATGAAGGATTATTGTTTCAGGTGCACCTCGATTGTACCTTTGAGAAAGAATACACCGGACTGGGAGCAGCGTTCGGATTCGTCCAGACATTGGTCGCACCAGGTATGTCCTCGTTGTTGGCGTTCGACAGTAATTCCGCCGAGTACGACGGTCGCGCTGGTATTATAGGCGATCGGCAGCACACCCTGCGAAAATGTTATGGAACATTACAAAGAGCCGCAAAACGCAGAGCGTTAAATCTAAGAAAGTACGCGACACTGCGTCAGAGTCTAATCGTAGTTATCAAATTTAGAGGAAAGTCAAACCGAACCATAATTTTAATAACGTCATCACAAAAAACGTACGAAATACACCCGCGTGCGTATCTAAAGTACAAATCGTACCAGTGAAAGCAACGTGTGTACAAAACTACACGAGATACTTTTAAAAGTTCGATTCGGGTATAAATTCGACACGAGAAAAACGACAAAGATACGTTTCGCATATTAATCCTCAAACGCACTCGCGTCGGGAATGTCGTGCCGTTTGGCGGACTTACGAGTTCACGTCCTCGAGTTTCTTGAGCAGCCTCTCGTTTTCCCGACAAACGAGTTCCTGGTCCCGTATCACTTGGTCCCGCGTGGCGTAGAGCTCCGCGTTCTCGCGCCGCAGCGCCTCGTTCTCGTTGATGTACGCGCGGATCAGCTGGCTCAGCTCCGAGCTCTCCATCTCGGCCAGCTTGTCGAGGTCCACCGGCGGCGGTGTTATGGGTATCAGTCTTTCGCCTGCGAACGATCGGGTGAGGATAATAATTAAAAAAAAGTACCACAGAACGAGATTAATCAAGAACATCCAATTCTCAATCTTTCCAATTAACAATTGTTTCGGTCGATTTAATCACCTATTTTAACACGTTGTTAAAATGTGTTTTTTTAATACAGGGTGTCTTATTTTAAATGATCCGCGCAAGTATCTCCAGAAATATGAAAGATACGGAAAAACGGTTCAAACAAAAGTTATTTGGTTCGAAGGTTACCTTCAATTTTTTTAATGGAACCCCCTATTGTTTATTATACTATCTTATTCTACTAATTAATGTGAATACCTTTTGTCTGAAACATTTTTTTATTTGCCTAATACTTTTTGAGATGTTCAAGAGAAAATTTAGAACTTTCAATGTTTAGCTTATGATATCTCATAAAGTATTAGGCAAATCAAAAAGTGTTGTAGACAAAAGTTGTTCATATTAATTATTTCTCGTATTTGACATTGTCGGTAAAAAGATGAGGGTTGAGATGGACGACATCCTACGAATATGAATATTACTTTTTGATTCGCTGCGGAGCATATTTTGAGCCTCGTTACTGAGATGAAGAGTCATCCTCAAATGATCGTTTTCGGTCTGAAGTGCCCCCACTTCGCGCTTCAAGCTGAGAATCAAAGCCTCGCGTGGATCCTGCGAAAAGTTACTTTTCAGATATTCACGTTTCAAAGTCCCTTTTACAATCTGAAGCAGGTGCGCGATCTTACCATCACTATAATAGGCTTCGTGGCGATCTTCTTGGCTCTCGCGGCGTATCTCAAGGTGTTTAACGACTCGGTGGCGTTTGAACGAGCCGGCGAAATGCAGGCGATCTAAATATTTGACATAATTATTGATGTTGAAATAGAAGTGCAATTGCAAAACTGAGCGTGTTTGAAGGCTCTTTGGAAATTATGGCGTAACAGATTTTTCAACTCGTATCTATTATATAAAATTAGTATCCAAATTAAGAAGACTGGATATGTTTAAAGTTTCGTCGATTATCGGAGGCTTATCAATCGCGGAAGTGCTTGGAATTTTGGGCGTCGAACGCCGAGCGCCGGTTCCGAGAAGTGACGTAGCGCCGTAAACACTTCCGTCGAAAACAGTCTATTCTCATTGTGCCTATCATTCACGCGGCGAAAGTCGAACAGGTCAGTCAGCGGCCCGCGTCGCTCCGCATATCGTATCATTCTTTCTTGATACGCGATCGCTCTCCGTGAATAATCAGCGAACGATACCGTCGCGTGATCGCTGAATCCTCGCGATTTGCCATCGATGCTCGGTTAACCGGCAAGACGGATATCTCGCGCGATTCACACACGAAATCCGTACGTCCAGAAATCAAAGCGCTAGCTAACTCGAAATTACTTCTTCATTGCGATAACCACGGACGACAATTGTTTCTTTAAACAACGTTCGTATTCGGATACATTTCGTATCGTCGGACATACATATCTAAAAGACGACTTAAAGACGTCTCAACCCTTTGCACTTCGAAGTATATTTCATCTATTGGTTTGGACTTGGAAGAATGTCGAGTGAGACTCGACAAAGGAGCTCCTGAGATAAAAACTGATGTCGAGTCACACTCGACGTAGGAGTGCAAAGGGTTAAAGATGTCTTTTAGACACGCGTGCTGTATGGGAAGCTTTATCACGGGATTTCATACATAACAGGATAGATATTTCATTTCTTTACTTTACTTTCGTGATTAAAAACATATTTTAGCTCATTTTCTCGATAGAAAACTTACAATGACATTAGCGTTGCCGGTTTGTGATCATGCACGACATATTAACATTTCAAACAGAGTTTCAAGTATTATATCGCCAGTGCTTAATTAACAGTAAGGTTAATTCATCCGACACAACTGGCTACAGGAAATCTTCCTTTATTCAAAACACGACGTTTCGGCCATGGGTTTTGGCCCTTTTCAAGTGTATTACAATATATAGTCGGCGTATAGCATGTGGTCAAATGCTGTTGGGCCCAGTTTAGGGTGTCGTTACACGGACATAATGTCTCTCTAACATGCTTGCTTGCTGTGCGAGTACAGAGGTGAGACTAAAAGTGACACTTGCTATACGCCGACTATACATATATTGTAATACACTTGAAAAGGGCCAAAACCCATGGCCGAAACGTCGTGTTTTGAAGGAAAGGAAGATTTCCTGTAGTCAGATATTAACATTTGTTGCGCAAAGAGTACAGATAATATTTACGCGGAACGTTATCAATCGCGAATCGACTCGTTCTGAAAAGTTGGTTTGCAACTCACCATTAACGTGACGCCGTTTCCGGCGAGACTGTCGGCCAAAAGCTTAGTCAGTTTACTGTCCCGATAAGGGATGTGGCCACTTTTCTTCTTCCCGTCGCTCAAGGAAGAGATGCAGTATCCTGCGCAAAATACAATAAAACGACGTTCACTCCGGTGAGAGAGTCGGACATAATTTAAAAGTTGGATACGGTCCGATATAAAGACACGTGTCTTTCCCCGTGCAATTTTGCGAAAACGTACGCGCTACCTGCAAGACTTTTTTTTGCAAAAAAGTTCTTATTGTTTCGTTTCGCGAACGTGTGTGTACACATATATGTATAATCGCGAAAGCTTATCGATTATTTTCCATAGGCGGAAGGCACACGCCGACGCGTCTTTTCACATGTCAGTAACTTAATAGCTGTATCGATTACTTCAGCTATGCTAAATAATGGACGCGCCGCAATTTCAAAGTCAAGATCTAATCTAATTTTCCGGCGATAAATTAATCATAATCGCTATTCATAGGGAAATGATTGTTGAATCTGACGCGATTGCAGTTAGTTTACATTGCACAGTATCGGTGGTGACGATAAAAGACACGTTTCAGCTTCGTTATTTATAACGAATTACTTCGAGCTGCGCGTCAACGTAGAAAAGTTTCTCGTCTCTTCAACTCGGATATCGGGGAAATATAATTAGGATATGGGCTCACCTAACACCATGAGGCTTTTGTTAATATTGTTTGCCTCTTCCAAGGTCTTGCCCTCGCTCAGCGTTTTCTTCGTCATTTCGCTCCCCGCGAGGTCCACGAAATTAATTTTGCCCTGTTTCGAGATAAACACGCCGTTCTCCATCTGTCGATGCGAGAGAGAAAGCGAGACTCGTATTAGTCCTCCTTGTAAATTAATTCGGAACACGCGGCGGGAAAGGGCGGTAAAATGAATTGGTCGGCGATGAAGGAAGTGAATTTTGCCTCGTTGAAAGACGAATACCATTTACTTATGTATGTATGCCTATTATTCATTAATTTTCAATACAATTAATGTCAATTTGATTGCACGGCGAGAAATGATTGTGGAACAAATCAAATTTCTATTTGCTCTCGTACAAAATCCGATACCCCGATGTTTGCGACGCTGATCTCCGCGTGTATTTTCGTCTTCGTCTCGAGGGAAATATACATAATAACCGCGAGGCGTCGTATTTACTCACCGCTTGCTCCGAAGTTATATTTACAGTCAAAATCGAATGGCTTCTGCTGGAATACTCGTTCATGTTGTGCGTACCGATCGATCTATTTCTCATTCCTATAAAAACGTAGCGTATATTACACAGAGTATTTCGACGAGCTCCAATTTCTAAATGAGAAAATGTGGCTCTTCGTGAAATGAGATTCTAGAAAATTAGAGACGATTAATAGCAATTAAAAGAAAATATTTGTAGATGTCGCGAATCATGATGGGAGATAAAAAAAAATTGCGAGGTGGAATCCTGCGGTTTCCTTCCGCGGCGAGACTACTTGTTTCTGTAAAATTTCACCTTCTTCGAGAACCGCCAGAAGATCGTCCAGTTCTTCACATTCTACGGTGAAGAGGTTCTCGACGAAGAATCCGCGCGTCTTCTTACTCCACCGTACTGCTAGGGGTTTCCTCGAAGTGCCGGGATTCAAGAGATCTATCACCTATTTAATCATTAATTTTTATATTGCCATCGTTTTCATAACGGAATTGACTCGCGACGATAATCGCAATTACATTTCATTTTGCGCGTGTAAAACGGGGGAAAAAATTCGTTTTTTTAATAAGATGATTAAAAGGCGTGTTCATTTTGTTGTTCCTATTGGACGATATCTCATCGTTTTATAAAGACAGACCTTCTCGTTATAGATTTCCAGAGAGGAAGCCTTTAGCACAAAGTTGCACTTCTCGTGTTCTTGAAGGACTTTAAATAGGTAGACGAAGGAACGGAAGACCAGACCGTGATCCTCCGAGTACGGATCCGCTTTTTCGAACTGTTAGAAAAAAAGAGATTAGATTAACTTTATAGATATATAAAGAAGTATTTGTACAATTCGTACAAATGAGTCACTTTAATTTCCGCATTATTTAACGGCAGGTTTGATTCTTAATTTCCAGATAACAATTTTTACGTGTATTTTATTAATCGAATCATATTAAGTTAATTGCAATTGCTTACTGTAAAGTAGCTAAACTATGATAGTTAAAGAAATGACTTCCTTTGAGACATGCTTGTCATAGTATTCTCTCGTCGCCATTAATTAATTAAAGTTTTTTTTTATATAACACTCAAACGAATAACAAAATAAAGCTTTCTCATTTTCGCGTTCCTTAGATTTGTTTAAGAGATAATTACGGGACATGTATCGGTATTTCTCTCTTATACAGTTCCGTGTTAATTTCCGAAAGTTTTTATCGGTCACTTCAAAATGTGACCTTACATTCGATTCAGTCTCGATTCGATCGAAATTTCAATGTTGCGTTTAGTTGCATGGAGCGACGTTACGTGTGACTTAGACGCATTATCTTATCTACGAAAGACAATCAACTTTAACCTTCCTACTAGCTATGTAGCTATCGATCGCTAACGTCACCGTGTGTTTTACGTATCGCATTTGTCTCTTACACTACAACTGGACGGACGTGTACTACGACGCCGTTAAAAAAACCACTTCGCACAACTTTAACGTGCGTCTTTTCCCGGAATATTCAAGTAACGCTTGTTTCGAAAGACTCGGCAAATGTTGAAATTAATATTTAGAACGGGATCTACGTCGTGTATCTTTTTTTTTTGTATAGCTCGGCCTTGCTCATTCGCATTCTCGTTTAGCGCGAGACAAAAGGGAATAACGTGATTTAAAACATTATAGAAAAATATTCAGGGCAAGATAATTGAAGTAAAGAGTTTTTTTTTGTCTACGCTTACGAGTCTCGGAGGTCCGGTCAGGGTATGCGTTTTGCCACTTCCGGTCTGTCCGTAACAAAACACGGTGCAGCTGAAGCCCTCCACCGCCATTTCGATGAGGTTCTTGATTCCGGAGTACTGCAGGATGTCCTCCTGCGTGGCATTTGGCTCGAAAACGACGTTGTACGAGAATACCTTCGGCTTCTTGTCGCCGCTGCTTGTAAGCGCGTCGCACTGCGAGATAAAGGACGTGGTGTTCCACTTAACGCGATGGGAAATATTGTTATCGTAGGGAGGCGCGTAGAGAAGGGTCGGCGATAATATCCTTAAAAAATCGAGGGGTGTAGAGTGAGGACACAGATGATTTTACGGACGGTACAATTTTACACTTTAACATATCCGTTTTATGTTTAAAGGACAATTATATTTCCGTTATATTTTATAACGGATATTCAATACTAAAACGGATTTCTCAGTATGTTCTGTTGTCGCTCAATTTGTTAAGAGTATTTCAGTCGCCTCGGTTACTCGGCGGTTTTCGTCTCGATTACGCAGCGCAATATTAGGTTTAATATTTTTGCCGCTAATTTTTGCGGAGCAATATGGGAGTGAATGGACGCGGTAACTGTCGCGGTAAATGTACCGCATGTGACTGCGACGAATTCCATGTTTCGTCTAATAAAATATTGTCTCCCGGGTGATAAATTCTTTTTTACAATATATCAGGGGGAAAATAAAAACGAGGTCCAGGTTCAAACCCTGGCTGAGGTGATATTTTTCGCAATAGATTTTCTGCATTTATTTTTATTTATTATTATTTATTAAAAATGCCAGATATAGTCATGAAAACACTGACGCTGTTAATTACTGCTGGCGACATTGAAGAATATTCTGATTAGGTGATTGTATTATCAAGTAAGTTTCCCAACCCTGCAATCTTCGCACTTACGTATATTTGTCCATCGCCGGGAAACTGTACCGCCATTTCCTCGCCGGATTTCGTTTCCTTGTTACTGAGCGGACGAACCCTAAGAGAGAAAAGAGCAGGCGTTATAATAATTTGAAATCACGTGAAACCGACGTGCCCAGTCAACACCGAGCGTCAGTTACATCGCTTTTATGTTACAATTTCTCACTCAACAATGTAAGCGTAATATAACACGTGTGTTATTGTACATTTACATTGTTGAGCAATTGTGACGTAAATGCAACGTAATTGACGCTCGGTGTCCACTGGGGCGTAAGAGCGAATCGAGCTGAATACCTGACGACGACATTTATATTGTTCTCTGGAAGTAGGTGCTTGGTCGCAATTATCCGTTTATCGCCGTCTACTAATCGTTCGATGCTACCGACCCTGGAAGCGCGTAATAACATTATCTTTGCTTTCTATTGTTAACATATTATATTAATGAAATAAGTTCGTAAAGGGCGATAACGGTGGCATAAAACCCTTGCGTTTGTCGGTGCGACAAACAGTCGTTTGTCACTTTCGAAATTAAAAGGGAAGGCAACGTTTCAACGTTATTAAAAGCAATTACCTTTGAATACAGAATACGTCGCGTTGCCATAAATTTACCCTAGATAGTTAAAAATCACCCTGTAACAGTCGCCGTAGTTAAAGATCGCCGCATTCTATAGTTAACAAATGTACACGGAACGTCACCGCGGCTGAGTTACGGCTATTGTCATTACGTGCATAGCTCTATCGTTTCTATTATTAAACGCCACCGCCGGTCTAATTCCGCAAATTAACGGCGTTCCATGAATGCGCGATCGCGAACGTCCGATACGGAAATGTCCAGTCAATCGTCCGATTGACCTCTAATCGCGCGGCCGGCCCTTATTAATTTACGAGGCCTCCGATCGAAGCTGATCGAAGCGTATCGAGTCGCCGGGCCGCTCGCGTGTTGCCCGGGCGCGATTTCTTTTTCATTCCGAAACGCCGCGGCATTCCGAGAGACCTTCCTCAATGATTTAGGAACGACGATGTTGGTAAATACCGGATCGCTCGTTCGACCGGCTGTCGGCGAACGATTCTCGAGAAGTTCTCGTTGCGGAAGTTACAAAGTACCCCGGCTAAATCCCTCGTAGGTACGCGAAGCATTCGCGTTGTTTCCACGGTGAAACTACTTCCTCGAACGGAGGAATATCGAAGAGCCGGACAGGAAATGTCGCTTTGAAGACCGCGATCTTCGAGTGCCCATGCGGTAGACAATAAGGTACAATGACCCGCGCGAAAAGCAAAAATGATCCATACACTGAAAAAAATTTCTGGTTGAATATGGACGAATCAGATAATTCCTCTAGGATTTACCAGAATTCCTTTAGGATTTACCAGAATTTCTGTAGGATTACAGGAATTCTGGTAAATCCTAAAGGAATTATCTGATTCGTCCATATTCAACCAGAAATTTTTTTCAGTGTAGAGTTACCGAAAATTCCCGCATTTGCATCCACAACTATGACAATAATCTGAAGTATATTCAGTGTACTTGTAAAAGCAAAAAAATTTTGCAATTCCACGTGTGCGCGCGGAAAGAAAGATACGCAGCTGCCGTAGCCAAAAACTGCACGTGGCGACTAAATTTCAGTTGTAAAACCTGGATAGCCAATATTTAGCTGCGACAGCTAAATACTTTGCTACTGCGCCTATTGTCTTAGGTGCGACGGCAAACCGTTTGCTGTGCTTCAGAGATTTATAGCAGCAAAATATTTTTAGCAGACCATGATTAGCTATACGGTAGCGAAAATTTGTTTCTTTCAGCGCGATGGTATAGATTCGATTATACCCTCTTAGTTCGATTGATTCGCTAATTAATCGATTGAGATTAAGAGGATTGAGATTGGAATGAGATTGAAATTCGGCCACTTAGAGTAAAAGTGACTAAACGTGAGATTAGCGAACTTTACTGTAATCGGTCAAATTTCAATCTAATCCCAATCTCAATCCGTAGTTTGATACGGGCTTAAGGGGCACGAGTTCGGGGCAGCGCCTCCCCTTCGTGTGCATGTGCACACACATACGCGCGAGTCACGTGCGGGGTGACTCCGTGTTTATCGCTTTACCGTAATTGTCGTGCCGCACGTGAGTACGGCACTCGAGCTGGGACCACCCTTTTACGAGAGCCGACGGCCGCAAAAGTCGCTCGGACCGCCGGAGACACTCGCGCCGTCCTCGTCTTCCGCGGTGATATTTAATCGTATACGCACACGTGGCCGGCACAACGGACGTACGCACTTTTGCGATATAGTTCGACGTCGCTTATCGATTGCGGGACCTTGCCGGCGCGACCTACCCGTAGTAGTCGCGACGTCGTAACGACCACACCGTAGATGCAAATGTCTCTCGGTATTGTCTCCGGCCCGTTCCTCTTCTTCTCTTTCGCGTACAGTGATGGACAGAATGGTCGCAACACTCTCCTCTCTTTTAAGCCTCCGCTACAATGATTCTCGGTTCTGTCTACAATGGTCGTAGTCGTAAGAATAATCGACTGCGATTGGTCAATTCTTATCGAGCGACTACGACTACGACCATTGTAGACAGAACCGAGAATCATTGTAGCGGAGGCTTTAGCGAGTTTAGGAACGTGCATTTAGATTCGGGGTTACGTTCCAAAAACATTTTCTCCGAGGAAAATTTTACTTGAGAGAGAAATAGTTTGAGAACGCGCTCAAAGTGGTTTCGGAATGGCCGTCGAGTAAAATATTCCTTGGAGAAGAAGATTTCATTCATTAAACAAAGTGGCGTGACCATTCTGTCCATAGTATAACTGGTAGGTCCACTTCGTCATTTGTTTCGTTTTACATCGATCCCTTCTGCGCATCCATTTTGTTCGTCCAGCCATGAGGGAAAATTGTATGCGTGGTACTGTAGCTTTGATACACTACCGCGCGTACAACTGCAGTACGTACACACACACACGCCGTTGAATTTGGACCAAAGACACGGCGGGGTACCACGTAATCGGGACCGCAAGGATCAAAGGGGCCGATCCACAGAGCGTGGACCTACTAGTTATACTATAGGCTTGTTTTCTGTTGCTACACTGGTGAACTAGTGCAATAAGTTAGAGTAGGACAAGTATATTTTTTCTCATTCTAGCTTACTGCACTAGTTCACCAGTGCAGCAATAGAAAACAAGCCTTAAGCCCAATGTCCACGATGCTAGAACTTGGCCAAGTTCTAGCATCGTGGACATTGGCCTTTATGATTCTGTCCATCATTGTACAACGCGAGTCACCGAAAATAGAACCGCTCGAACGTGTCTCTCGAATCGCCAAGATTCACGAGGGTATATACGCGGTGAACGCGGGCATTCTCTGTTCTAACGTTCGGTTCTCAATTATTCTGCTCCACGTAGAAATATCAAGTTCGCGATTGCGTTCAAATGGCGGAGATGAGCCTTTCACGGTCACGGCGAAAGCGGGATGCGAAATTAAATATGCAATTATTATTCAAATACAGTCGCGTGCCGACTGCGAATTGAGAATTGCAAATAAAGCATTGCCGCGTGATAGGTCGTCGCTCGTATAGATATTTCATAAAATATTTAATTATTGTTGTGTGCGATTTGCGTGACGTATGGCCACTACGGTCTATCAGGAAATCGGGAAATGCATGTGCCCGGTTTTGGCCTGTAACGCGCCAGCGGGATTTCAATGCTCCGTTAAAAAGGAATTCGATTAAAATGCCTCGAAATCAAACTAATTGCATATATATACTCGTATAATAAAACTAAAATATTATTGCATATATTGTTGAACTACAATTATGATGCTTATAGCGTAACATTTTTTGTTAAAAGGGATTAAATAAAGTTTCGCGAGATTAATTGAAATTGCAATGAAACTAAAACGCAGTTTGACTTCTCCAGCGTAGACTATTAAAATACATCGTTATTTATATTTTGCAATAAAATATTATATGCATTTATATGCCATTTTATAATAATATAAAATTGTATCGACCGCGCGCGCGCGGGATGGGGATACCGTAATGCTCCTCTAATCAATAGGCAATGTCGAAGTGTGTGACACCGGAAGCGTGGAAAGTGCCCCTGCGTGTGAGTTACTTTTCCTATCGATGTGCGAACAGCGACAGAGTTTACACAAGGGTCCCGTGTAAAATCGAATACCAGCCGCAAACGCGCGCGAGTTACCGTCCCTCCTGATGGCCGCATCGTGTGTCATCTTTGTCCCAGATCTTCCGAACGATTTCCAGCTAGGACAATCTATCCCGCCGGCCAATTTTCTTGCTCGCGAAATCGATCGAGCAATTTCGCGAAACCGTGCAGCCTCGAAATTGAACCGCAAGTGAGTGCGAAAAGTGCATGTGATACGCGAAATTATAAATTATAAACAACATTTTGAACGGCGGGCATAATTAATGTAGGGTGAAAAAATAGTGTATCTTACTTCGGTTTATCTTACCATCCAATTGTTGCACTCTTCATATTATCTACTTTACACTTTGGCAGTTACTTGTTAATTAAATCTTTAGTTGAAATTCCATAATGACGAAATTGTGTAAATGTTAATTAATAATTTTATAATTTTTTACAATTCTGTACATACGCACTCACTTGTGGCTTTTATGAATTCTATGCAAAGGGTCATTCGGCATTACCGTATGATATAACAATACATTCTTAAATTCTTTTTTTATTTAAGCGAAACATATGCCAATGAGTACGTCACTGTGACGTAACTTGCTATCTCTTTTACCCGATTCTCTTACGTAAGTAAAATCCCGGTTATTTGAGTGGCGAGTGCCACTCGATCATGAAATATTAAGCACTGATTGGAACCGTCAATTTCAGCTGAGGCATTTTTGCATAAAAAAGAGATCTACGTCGATTCCCGTCGCTTATCTATTTAATTTCACATGTACCGTAATCATCATTCGGATATTATCGCGACAAATCAAACCGATAAAGCACAACGCTCTGATAATCGAGTTTTTCCATCGCATATTTGCGCGAATGTAACGTACGTATGTCACTTCAATTTGTCACGTACCGATCGATTGTCGAAGCGTTTTTTCGTCGTTTATCGTCTTCGCGACACAAATTATTGGCATGTTACTCCGCTTGATTGCCGAGAAATTTTACGAGAAATTTACGCGAAAAAACTCGCAATATAAATTTGTTTCCCAGCACGTGTGCATAAAATATTTTACACGTGAAATTAAATATGCACAACATTTTATGAAACAATTTTGCAAAAACTTTACGATCGGTTCACGCGAAAATTTATACAGATTGGTGGAATTTGTTGGAACAAAATTGATATTTTACAAAAATAACTTTTTTACAACACACGTTATATAATTTCCTGATTAGAGATAGCGACGTTAAAAGCAAAAGAAGAATTACATGAATTAATCATCAATTTCTAACACGATTCCCCGTACCGCTCTACGTCAATACTTCGCCTTTTCGTTTATCTGTTTTTCGATTAGGCAAATTTGTTTCGCAGTAACTTTGTCGCCAGAGCACAATGATATGTTGTCCTTCTCGTATATTGCCGGACAGGAAGAGTGATATATTTTATTAAAGGCACGGCTCGACACACGGACGAAATTATTATTGTTTTTTGCCTGCAACAAGGCGACTCGGCGATGGTATCGCTCGTAAATTTATTGCTCGGGTAAATGTTTCGATAATCAATTTCTGATATAAGAAACTGCTTGCTCTACTTGCGGACTAAATCGTCAGAGTCTTCCCGGGAAAAAATTGAATATCCAAGAAATATTATTTCATACATAAATCCTTCACTTTTATCTAATAGTTCGCGGTCGCAATTAATTTTGGCAGTGCCTGGTGTCATTCTCGCGAATGCAAGTAAAATAAATAAGAATTTATATTCTTTTCCAACGTGCGGTTATGGATCGAGACACTTAGACTCTGGGAATTTCGATGAGCAGTGTTCGCGGAACGAAAGGAAGTGTGTGCGACACAAGCAGCGGAAACACCGCATAGAACTCAGACGCAAAGCAGTCTACATCGATTCGCGACTCGTTCGTCTCGACATGCGGTTGGCAGCTAGGAGATACTCACTCGTTACCCCGCGAGTGTAGCAGCGCGTTTTTTCCCTTTCCCTTGGTGTCGGAGCCACCGCTCTTTCCTGGACTACTTCCTCGAGAACCAGTTTGCTCGGCAGGACTGTTTCCTCGCGAGCCTCGTCCTCCGCTTCTTCGTCCCTTCGCCCGCCCATCTCGTTGGGGGCTCAGGCCGCGCGTCGGGGACGGATTTTTCATCAGCACCATTCGTCAGTCTGCTGGATCTACATTAGTCTGGCGTTAATTTATAACCGACAAAAACAAAACACGACAGGTGGTCGTCACGTCGCATGTGCGAAATGTCGCGTTCCGAAAGTTTCAATTTCGCGAATATATGCAAATTGCGTATAAATATGCAAATCTTTCGTCTTTTTTTTACGAAGAGAGTAAAAGAGAGAACGCCCGCAGATACTTTTCAAACGAGATGGAGATATTTAGGGTAAACTGCTGTTTACCGTGAGATTTAAGATCACGCTTATCTCACGTCACGATCTTTCCGGTAAACGCGCAAATTCGAAATACGAAAATTTATGCAACCACTCGCGTATTCAATAGTCAACTAATTATGGGCGTTTCGCGCACTGTGCTTGACTCGATTGCGAATCCGCGCCAGCGGCTTCGTTTCGCCGGCGATGATAATTAACTGTTATCGCAATTAAAGCGAAAGTTACCTCGAAACGCTCTGGAATTGATTGGTGTGGAAATTAATTTTTCTGAAAAGTGTGCGAAACAAATGTAAATGCGCAAAAATATGAATACGTGCAAATGGCAAACAACGAATACAACGAAAACAATAAGTAAACTTACTACGACGACGATATATATATATATATTTATTAATTTGCCATTTTCCAAGCAAAATATCCCCCGATTTAATTCCAGAGCAATAAATTCCCCTTCGTAATTGAAGACTTAATTAAGAGCGTTCTGTAGAGGCATTGAAATCACCGGCCCGCACCGATGCGCTCGCTCGCTGTGAATGGAATCGCTTTTCTTCCAACGCGAATGATATCATCTTCCGTTCCGGAAGATCGCGTTTTACTGCCTTGTTGAAAGTAAAAGCAAACAAGCGGGCCAGATGGGCGATAAAAATATTTACGAGTCATTAAAAGGCAGACCTCGCGCCAAGAAAAACCGCTCGAAAAATTAACGCCCGATTAAAATGGCTGTCTAATCTTCTAAGTGATTTACAATGTCATCGACTGTCGCCGTCGTCCATTATCTAATATTATTTCTGCCGCGGTGGAGCTCATTTTCTCGCGGGAACGTCACAGTTCGACGTACATTGATCGATCGTTAATTCGCGATAATTTGCGGAAAATCGAACTTGCCTCGTGTCGCGTATAATATACGAAGATGTGTGTACGTTTAATAAACCTATCACGAAGTTACATGCTTTGTATAAAATAACGAAGTTTAATCAATTCTGATAATCTAAAGCATCTAATTCTAATATCCCTCAATAGGTTTTAATAAACACTGATAGAGGAAAATCCTCTATTATGAGATAGGCTTCTAATATGAGATAGCAGGTTTTCAACACCCAAATTCAATCGCAAGTCTTTTTTCGCAACGATTACACGATCTAACAATGAATTTTCCACTAAACGGATTTCGCTCCAAGGGCAACAAATTCATGGTCATGGAATCAACCGACGATGCCTATTAATTTAACAGAAACGCCACTATCCCGTATTAGGATTCTGTCTCATAACAGGGGACTTTCCTCTATTAAAAAGAAGACCTGGAGAAATAATATCGGCGTTTCGTTCACGGTTACTACAATTTCCAAAGCGACAGCTCTTATTTCCGGTTCGCTGTCGCTTCCGACTGCCCGAAAAGAAATCCGACGATAAGTTTGAGCGCAACAAAACGCCTCATCCCTAATAGCGCACGTAGGACTTTCATAATTGAAAAGATCGCTCAGGCCACTTATCGAACTTAAATCCAACGTGACGTCCGCGAGTCTATAGTCGGTAGAATCCGCCGACGGAAATGCACTTACATTCGCAATTTCATGAATCGTCCGGAAAATTCCCGAGCACCTTTTCGAAACGCACGGCACCGCACACCCCGCACTCGCGGACGTTTACCGATTCGGTCGAGGGGTGGGTGGGAGGGAGAGGGTAAGCGCGATTTGCCCCCGTCGATTTGTCGAGTCGATAGCTCGAACGTTCGCGGGGGACGAGAGCGCGCGTTTCCGCTGCGTGCAGTAGCAACAACCACCGGCGCCGTACTGACACGCGGGGGTGAGTCTTGACCCGAGGGAGACCGTCCAGGGGGGTGTAGGTTCTCCTATAGTCGGTGTCGCGCGCCGATCGAAAGCGGCCCGCTCTCGTCACAACAGCCACAAGTTATTGCTATTACTCACCGCGGGCTATACCACCAGCTAGCTGCAGCTCCACTCCGCCACCCTCGCCGCCCGGCAGCGCACGGTCATCGTCCACGTGGACGTGGAATTACATCACCGCGAACTTGACATCGGCAACAACACCGTCGGCGATGGTGTCGATCGACGGCGGGTCGCTTCGACGGAAGGTCGACGGGAATTACTCGCGTAATAAGGGTATTACTCGTAGAAATAATATGCGTAAACTAAGTTTGATTCGTTTGACTCGTCGCTTGGGTAAAACCAGGGTTGGGAAGCGGCTCTCGTTGCAACGAAGTTGCAGTTGCAGTTACTTTTTTTTTCGGTAACTCTAACTTCGTTACTTTCTCTCCGTCTGTAACTGTAACTTAACTTGTAGCGAATTTGGTTGCTTGCGCTGGTGCGCACTGAGTTGTTTACAGTCAATTCTTATATTTAGGAATCGTCTTAAATGTCTCTTGAAATATTTCGCAGCCAGTAAAATGATAGCATCCATACGGGTCATTTTTTGGCTAAATACTTTTTGAGCGTGTATTTAAGACGAAGCTGAATATAAAAATTGACTATAAACGGGCCTTAGTGCGCACTCAGTGCGCACCAGTGCGAGCGATCGAATTCGCTGTTAGTTACATTGATAGTTATTTTATATACATGTATTTTTTAAACCTCCACACATTTAGCCCTTGCATTTGTGCCTTTATCGATGCTTTACAATTGAAATGCAGATTAGATATTTTGATTTTCATCGCAAGAAAGTAACCGCAAAGTAACGATTCGTTACTTTTTGAGTAACTGTGACTATAAGCTACATTTTTAGCGAAAACACTGTAACTAGATACCTTTATGAAGTAACTTTCCCAACCCTGGCTAAAACTTCATACATATTTGTTTGGGAGGGAATCAGATCGCGCGTCACTCTGGGGATTAATGTGCCCCGAATCGAATGGATGCGACCTCGGAAATTTGCCATCTGAGCGGAAATTTGACGTCTCGGAGAGCGCGATGAGCGATAGCCGCGAGTCTTTGAGACTCCCGACGTCGAATTTCCGGAGTACGCGCGTGGTGCATCGCGGAGTTGAGTGCACTCAATTATACGCGAGGGTCGCCGGTTACCTCCGACGAGGGGAAAACGTGCCCGCGTTTCTATTCAGCTTATTGTTAGACGTTGTGCTTCGAGAAATAGTTTCTTTGTGGACTTTGCGCAATGCCTGACGACGGTTCTACGATAATTTACGATACTTGGCGGCACACGTTGGTGTTGGTAGAGCGATAGGCGTTTAATTTGCAATCGGTAGCATCGACTCAATGAGACTTTTATACACACGAGGGCTCGGGGAATATTAGAATGCAATGAAATGTACTTCGGGAGGAAATTTGCAAGTTTAAGATCGTCGATTTCAGATTTTGATCCTATTTCTAAAAAGTATAGGAAAAATTCGATACGAGTAAAGTCAATTCAAATTCAAACCTAGACGAAATGCGAGATGTTCATACAATTTATATTGCGACATGTGAAAATGACCGGTGACTATTTAATTCTGCGTAATATCTTACTTTTACGTTGCTACGTTTTTAGTGTGAAAAAATATATCTCGCATATTGGGTATATGATGTAGGAAACTCCACGTACATTTCTATTTTCCGGAAGAAGTATAATAATGTTTGATATAAAAAATATCGAAAGCACTATATTACGAATTTATTCTGAATATTATATGTTATTATAAATAATGTGTTACTTATATATCTTTCAGTTACAAGCGTAAAGGAAACGAGCTCAATGACGCAAGTGTAAAGGAAACGAGCTTAATGACGCAAGATGATCTCGGGCTTCTCGAGAGCTTTAAGTTCAATTGCAAAATTGAAATCTATAAAAAAAAGAGAGACCAAATTCACGCGTTATTTATCTCCCGCTTGCGAGTGCGAAGGAAACGAGCTTAATAACGCGGGGCGATCTCGGGGCGTCTCAGGAATTAACTTGCGAGAAATTCAATTGCAAAGTCAAGATGAAGGAAAAGCTCCCTTACGTCAGACTCGGTTACAAGCCGTCACGTTGCGAGAATCCGCTGCAAGGCCCACGAAACCCACGGCCCCGCAGGACCCCGCGAGGTTCACACAGGGCACCTCGGCGTGCGTCATACACGCACGCACACCAGAAAACGAATTCCTCTCTCCTTCTCGCCGTTAAGTCGTTCGGCCGGCTGGCAGCCTGGCCTTCCTTCCTCTCTACCGCCGCCACCTTATGCCACCGGGGCACCGAAGAGGAGAGCTCTCCTTCAGACCGGCAGTTTCGTGTGTTACACCGTGGCGTGTGCACCACGGAATACACCACGCTTATCGCGGCCCCGGCGGCGAGACCGTTATATCCAACGACGGCGACGACGCGACGGTTTTTCCCGCGGGTACGTCGAACCCGTTGCACATCGGGGACCGTGACTTCCAGGGCCCGCCGCGGCTCGTCGAATCGTGTGCCGCGATTCCGTGCGCCCCCGTTCTGATGGTGACCTGACGACGATGGATGAACACGCCGCCCGTCTGGACTCGTGAGCCCGCCACTGTACCCGAGAACGAGAGTACTCGAGGCGCGGAACGAAAGTGAGTACGAGCACGCCTTTTTATCCGAGCACGTTTCATCGTGGTTCACGCAATCGTGGATGAACGAGGGAGACCGAAGCCCCTCTCGCGTTATTTTATTTTTATTTTTTCATTTTTATCTTTCATCCACGATATTTCACGTTCGATTAGTCTGCGCCGACGAGAGTCGATCCGTGTTCGTTCATTTTTATTTTGCTCCAATATTATTGTGAAACGAAAGAGGTATCTTCCAAGCACAGATTTCGCGCTCGACATTAAAACTTCGGCCGGGGATAAATGGTGACGATCTTTATATTTGTCGCCAATCCACGTGCAATATTCATCCGGTCATCGAGAAAGATTCGATAACCTGAAGGCGCCGCTCTCGGATAAATTTCTCTTTCCGAAGGTTTTTTCAACCGCGAATAAGTGTATCAATTGCAATTTATATTGGCGTCTGGTGTGAGTCACGAGGAGGAAATCACGACCGTGTCTCGCGCTCTTATTAAAAGAACACACAGATCGTCGCAGATGTTACGACTCGCGTCACGAATGCGCCTTGAACGCGATACGATCCCGCAGATTCGTGTAAAGCCATTTCCAGCAGGTCGGTCGAATTATTTATACTTTGCGCCGCTTGTCAACGATACGTTTGCTCCGAAGTACATACTGTCGCGGATGCCACGCTCGGGAAAAAGCACAATCGGACCAGTGAGAACGGAAAGGGGACATGTGACGTTCTGGCCGAAATTGACCCGACAATGGATCCTTGTTCTACATGAATGGGCGTATCTGTTAAAAATTTTGTTTCGTGTAAATTTATTTTAAAAGCCTTCCTCTACAGGACATAAAATCGACTTGAAAAATTTATCTCGCCTACGCGAAGAGAACTTTTCTCTCAAAATGTATCCTGAAAATCATGTAATCGCGCACGGAGAGAATTTTCTTCGAAAATTTATCCTGAAAACGGTGTAATCGTGGGACAACGCGGCATTTCAAAGAATTTTATGAGAGTTTTTTGAAATTTTACCGTACATTTCACTAGTAATTATACTTAAATTTTACTGGTAAAATGTACGGTAAAATTTCAAGAAACTCTCATGAAGTTCTTCAAAATGTCACGTTGTCCCACGATTACACGATTTTCAGGGTGAATTTCAAGAGAAACTTCTCTCCGTGTGGGCATTTCGAAGAATTTTATGAAAGTTTGTTGAAATTTTACTAGTAATTACACTTACAATTAGTATACATTTTACTTGTAAAAAAACTCTCCTAACGTTCTTTAAAGTCCCACGTGTTCCCACGATTGCATGATTTTTAGGGTAACATTTTAAAGAAAATTCCGCGTTTTTGTTTTTCTCAAATATGTGACTTTGTCATATGTACCTTTTCTTTTTTAGTTAATTCAATTCTATTTCTTATTACGATGATTTAATTTATTAATATAGTATTTAATATACTATTATGGTTAATGGTACCGTTTACTTGTAATATTCATTAGCTTGATGTTAGATTGAAGGTTTTATCAAGATGTCTTTTAAGAAGGCTGCTAAAATGTATGTTTCGAGAGACATTAGTATCGTGAAACGTTGAGAGTATTTCGAGAGAAGCGATTGAATCGTTGTTCGCTGTAAGCGAAGGTTAACGGTTTTTAAACACTTTGATGAGGATGTCATTGGTCCGTCAAGGTCGGTTTTACGTCGTCGCGTTATTGCATTTTAAGTACGACTCGATGTGCTCGCTCGAATTTATCGAAGGCCACTGCCGACAATGATACCATTATCTCAATTCTGCGCTCGGCCAGTTTGGAAAATCGGTCTCTTCCTTGATCATCAAGAAATTTACGCTTGCTTGTGAAACGCCCTTAAACTTCGCGCGTTGTTGTTAAGAAATACGTATCTTTAAAGCCGTCTTTACATCGACGCAGCTTGTTACGCAATGACTGCACCGCGCGTATTCAATGATCTGAATTTTACGTTCCAAGTCGACGAGTCGGCGTCCGCTAAGTGGATCGTAAAAGTGGATCGCAATTGACACGGGATTCCGCGTAAACGATAGCCCGGAGCCGCTGAATTATCCTCCCGGGAAATCGCGAGTCGTACGGAGACAGAGACGGAATTCGTCCGATCCCATTGTTG